TAAATATAAGTACCATCGATAATACTAATTGCCTTATTAAAAACCTAATTTCCTTTAACGTTAAATTCGATTTCTAGCAATATAAAATTATCGTTAATTATATAACAAATTCATTATAAAATATAATAAAGGTTAGTAATAATTTTAAAACGATATTCGATATTATTGATTACGCTATTATAAAGTAATAAACAACCTATTGTTAAAGGTTATTAAACGCAACAATTTATAAAAAGATTATTAATTTAAATTTAACTGATTCATATCTAATATTATATATACTACTCTTTTTACGTATTTACCATACTAAATCGATAAATTTAATTTTAATTACTCTAAGGAGTTCGAAAAAGCGCTTTTCGTACCCTTTTAATAAATACTAAATAAAACGTTAATTAGTTTCTAAGCTACTTTCGTTAATAATTTCGGGATTATCATTATACTTCTCTTCCATTATTATTATAATAATAATAATAATAATAATAATAATAATAATAATAATAATAATAATAATAATAATAATAATAATAATAATAATAATAATAATAATAATAATAATAATAATAATAATAATAATAATAATAATAATAATAATAATAATAATAATAATAATAATAATAATAATAATAATAATAATAATAATAATAATAATAATAATAATAATAATAATAATAATAATAATAATAATAATAATAATGATAATAATTTAAGTAACAAGGATTAATAAAACCTTCCTTCTATATATTTTTACTACCTTATCCCCCTCTTGCCCTTCCTCTATATAAGTATTATATTCCTCATTTTCAAATATGGCGGCTAACGTATATTAATATAATCGGTTTCGTTACTTTAATTCCTATATAAAATATTAATATTAAATAGCGGTATAGCCTCTAATATAAACAGTATACGAGGGCAGTAGTATATTATATAATTATATTAACCCCGTGGTTAGGAATATAATAAGGATGCCTAACGCTATAAATATAGCCTAGATTACCTACTTTCTAACACTTTCTAACTAGAAAATATACGTAACAATCTTTAGAAGATTGCTACGTTATAAATCTATTAGATAGGGCGGTGGATTTTATAAATAGAATTATTTATATTACTTTGGGGTAGCGTTGGAGGGTTATTATATTCTATAAGGTATCGCTTTATTTCGTTTACGCATTCTTATATAGTTATTATAGAAGTACGAAGTAGATTTTTACACAACGTAATAAACTTTAACAAACTTCAATAATCTCCATAACAATTCCATTCAACTATACTAAACGTGGTAAAGTCACATAGTAAGGAGGTTTTAGTCAGACTTTTAGTGGTATATAACTCCAATAGACTTCGAGGCGTACCTCGCGTGCACGCGAGCCGATCAGGCCCCAAACTTTGGAAGCACTGCAGGTTTGTCACTTTGTCAAGTTAAGCTTCTCCGGGGCCCGGGGGCACAAATACGGTTTTAGTATTGGATATGTAAAATACGTGTTACGCCAGACGGCCGCCCCTGAGACGCCCTGATACCTTAGGTTTCCACCCAATCTGGTGATGGCGGGGTGTTACTATTTCTGTCAGTTTGTTAGTGAAGCCGTCAAACTGAACTTCAACACACCCTACATGTACTCCAGAAGATGAGCGAGTTTGCGGTGTCTACGGTGGAATCCCCGCTGTTTCGAAACAGAAACCGGATGCATTAAGTACATCTCCTTGGTCTACTTGAGTAGTCGGGGTCCACGGGAACCTCTTTGGGCAGCGACAGCGTTCAGGACTTCAGGAGCCTGACGTAAACCCGGTGGAGGTTTTTGTCTCGCGGGTTTCGAGTCTCGAAAAGTGAATATCCGCTGATCCTACTCGTCCTGTAGGGCTGTTGTGGCAGATCTCCTGTTCGTAGGGCTCTGCGGTGAGCGCGAATCGAAGATCCGGACAGCTCGGACTCGGAGAGCTCGGGGCATTTGTAACAGGCGAGCGACAGCGACCTGAGGCTTTGTCGGCCGCTGGAAATATGTCGTCAGCTCAGCCGTACGACAAAGCCCGAAATAAACAAAGACGGAGATCTGCCAATCATGCCGTGTCCGTGGTGCTCGTGACGGGAAATGACAGCTGTATGGAAGTGCCGGGTAAGTAGACCGCAACATGAACCGCAAGACTGGTAATAAAGCTGGCAAGTAATGGTCATTGTACACCAATCATCTGAGTGTTGGCTACAAGTCCTTCAAGGTTCGCAAGCCTTCTTCAACTGAGCAAGGACATCAGGTCTTGGCCTCGGTGACAACAACGTTGCCCCGGGTGAAGCACCGGGAAGAAGCTGCTTTTCCCCGGATTTTAGCCTGCTGGGAATGGAGGCACAGGACGGAAAGCGGGCAGGGCGGGAAGGGGAACACGGAAACCTGAAGGAAAGGGGCTGCTGTCAGTTTCCATCCAAGCATCTTTGTGTGTTCCAGATCTCCGGCGTCCACCATTGCATTTGACCTGAGGCCCGTGCGCAGTGCCCTGTGGCCCTGAATTTCGGTCTTGGCCGGCGGTAGGATCTCCATCAAAAGTCATTGTCGCAAGGCCTTTCGGTCGAAACACCTCGTCGAAATTCACGGGGGGTACGTAGGTACCTACCTGATGCCGTAGAAGCTCCACTGAATGAACCTGGGAAAATCTCAAAAACTGAAAGCTGTTGGCTGCCGCTGTTGTTCTCGACCGTTGTACACATACAGTTCAACCCTTAAAAGTGTGTTAGCGCGATTCTTGTGACAGGAGTCTCCAAAACTTCACAGAAAAACAACGGGACAACCACATTCAAAACGGAAAATTGGATAAAGTGTATAAAGCCTCCGAAACGCATCTGGTTGATACCAACTTCTTGCATGAAATGTGGTGGAATGGTGGTTGAGTTGCGAAGAGTGCGTAGTGAAGTCCCGCGCTAACGAACTTTCCAGGGGTGAACTGTAGAGGTAACTATGCCAACAAGGTGAACGATGGAGTCCAACCAGGCAGGGGACAGGGGATAGGTTCCTCTTCTGAAAATTTTTGAGCGGAGTGCCACCGTAGAAGTTGTGCTTGAGTTTGTGTGCTAACGTCAACGACTTTTTCCTACAGAAAATAGTTGTTAGAATCAATTTGCAAGTGTCATATTCTGTATGAGCAAGCTCAGAGGTCCACCCACCTGTTAGCGCCACTTTCCAGAGCATTCAAGGCTTTCCGCGGGCTGTGGTGGGGCTGATGGGAGCGGAGTGGTGGGGAACTCTGACGCTGAATCTGGATGAAGAATTGAGAACACGACGGACTCGTTGTCACTGTTGGTTTTACACGTGTACTGTTTGTAAGTTTCAAGAGGTTCACAGCTCTATCGAAGAATATTAACCGCAAGGAAGAACCGCCTTACTTTATCTTGTGTTAAGGGAGATCACCCAAGGGCACAGCAGATCCGGTCAGATCCGCGTCACACTCGTCAGGACTCCCTTGAGTTGAAAGACCGACTGAAATCAAAAAGGAAGTCATCGCGATGAACCCGGACAGCGGGCCGGAGTCAGTCGCACACTGTGGATCGCAGCTGTCATCTGAACAAACTCGCTGCTGCACACTCACACAAGCATCGTGTGAAATTTTCAAGCTTTCATGTTAGCGCATTGTTGCCACGGTATGGTAACTTACAACTGGTCCCTTGGACAATTTGGACTCTAGCTTATGTGATACTTGAACTGCAATTGACACCCGAAAAAGGCCCAGCTTACTGTATCCCGCCGTCAATATGAAGACGGGAATTGTGGGAGCATGAATCAGCCCTTTACTGAAACAAATGCCATGTTGTCAAAGCTCCCCGCGTCCCGACATGTTGCGGGTGAGGCTTTGATGAAAAGTACAGGTACCATCCATTGGTAACATACATACAGTGTTTTACACGGTCCCTGGCCCCGGTGGAGTCCCGAATTCCGGTAGCACTGGAGATGCCGCGGACAGCCCAGACTGCGTGCTAGTACCGCAGTTACGAGTGACTTTGGTAACAACAACCTGGAAGCGAGGAAAAGGAAACAAAGAGAAAATGAATGGAGCCACAACACACAGGGCGGCCTTGTTGTGCGTTAGCATGTGGCTGACGCCAGGGCCCAGGTCCTTGTGGTTCCTTTCGTGGTCCTTGTGACATGACACATAATTACTCGATGGAAATGCTTTTCTCAGAACGTCAAATACCTTTATAACCTCTTGATCCCTATGTTGTTTGTTCCTGGCCTTGCTTGCTTTTACCTTGCGACGTTGTTTTGATCACTTATCATTTTGTCTTCTCCTCTTATATACCCCTTTGCCTTGGTCACCATCATCCCATCAGGCACTCACCCTCTTCATCTTCAAAGTCTTTGCGCAAGGTACGTATCTCTATACTACTGGTCTGGTACAACCGGAGACTCCCTTGACATTCGATATGTGTACATCATCACTATAGCATGTCATTGGATTTCCATGTGGCGCCATACTGACTTGTACACTATCTAGTGTTACGGCAACCACACTTTCCACCTCATAAGACACCATATATCTCACCCTCTACGAACCTTTCCGAACCTCCAGCTACTCGAGTCAGTCAAGGCCAGCAAAACGAACAAACACTTCCGTCCTTCCGCATTGAAACGACGTCATTGCATTATTCGCTCTTGGAGGTTTTCAGTTCCCCTCAACGCCAACAAAAACAGGGCATCGTTGCAACTTTTTGGTGGACATTGGAGACTTGAAGTGCATCGACACCAAGCTGGATTGGGAAAAGTTGGCGCACCCACGGCATATACATTGTCGCAATTCGACCTAAAAAAGATTCGACAGATCTTGTGACGATCCAAAGAAACAAAGGTAGCATCCGACGGGACATCAGCCGACCAGTCGACCGCTTTCGCTACCGCACCTTGGCGACCCTTCGAGTGTCTTCTCGTAGCGAATCCCATCGCCGAATTTTGAACCCCCTACAGCAACCGACTTACAGCGCACCTTCCCCCGCATTGGCAGGGGTAAGCAACACCACCATGCCACACAGAGTTGTCGATTTCCTCCGGTCGTCGGCCAATACACTTGAGTTCCAGGTCTCCACCTTCACAAAATCCGGCAAGACTTCCCGAAGGCGAGAGAGTCCGACGGGCGCTGCTCGCGTTGCCCGTCACGGAAGCACAGAGCGAGTTGCGCTTGCCTCGAGCGAAGAAGAAGACAGCAGCACCAGCAACACGACGCCACCACGATCCATGTCTCCTCTGTTAAGGTCCAGCGATTCTTCGGATAGCGCACACACCACCAGCACAACGTCTAGCACTAACACGAGCAAAGAGGTCGTTAGCGCCAAGGACCACCACCACCACAAAGAAAAGGACCATCATCACCACCACAGGATATCCTTCCCGGGCATGCACTTCGGCCGTTCCAGCAAAGATGTGCACGCCAACGCGCCCGCCTCTCTCGACTGGAAGCTCGAGTCGCCTCCGATTGTTCTTTACAATGACCCAGAAACGTCCACAGGCGCGCTCGTCTCTGGCCAAATCTTCCTCAACATCAAGGAGGACCACGACCTGCTAGAGGTCGAGTTCATCAACGCCACGCTGAAGATCCACGTCACGCAAAAACGACCCTTCACTCACCACTGCCACGACTGCACCCACCAGTACACCGAGATCAAGAAATGGCAGTTCCTCGACCACCCTCTCGTCCTCGCCAAGGGGCAACACTCCTTCCCCTTCTCCGTTTTGCTCGACGGTCACCTACCAGCAAGCATGGACGGTCCCCTGGCCTCCATCGCCTACGAATTCAAGGTCGAGGCCCTGCCGAAGGTCAACGGCACTTTGCAGCCAGCTATCAAGTTCGAAAAGATCCTCGACGTCAAGCGCTCTCTCGCCTCCTCCGAAGTGCCTCACCACAGCATCCGCGTCTTCCCGCCCACCAACATCAAAGCCAACGTGCACTACCCCCACCACATCCACCCCACGGGCACCAATACGCTGCAGATCCGCCTGGACGGGATCGCTAGGCTCAACCCCAAGGCCGGCACGATGGAGTACTGGAAGCTCAAGAAGTTGACCTGGAGGCTCGAGGAGATCTCCAAGTCCCTGGCGCCAGCATGCGAGAAGCACGCTCCCAAGCTTCCCGTCCCCCCAACCCCGGCAGAGGGCAGTGACGCCCAGCCCCAACCACCAAAGGGCCTGCCCAGGACCGAGACCCGCATCATCGGCGAGAAAACCATCTTCTCCGGGTGGAAATCATCCTACTCCTCCGCCACCGACTCACACATCGAGCTCGAACTCGACTACTTCCTCTCCAAATCCCACTCGTCCCCCGCAGTCTGCGATACCCGATGGACCCACCCCGGCACCTCCACCTCGCAGGAGGTCTCGCACCAGCTAATGGTCGAGATGGTCGTCAGCCAGGAGTGGGCGCCGGTAGGCAAGCCCAACTTGGTCACGCATACCGGTGTTGGCAGGATCCTAAGGATGCACTTCAGCAGTATCCTCACGGAGCGCGGAGGCATTGGCATTTCGTGGGATAACGAGGCGCCTCCCATTTACCAGGACGTCCCCGAGAGTCCGCCAGCCTATTCGGAGCTGATGATGGGTGGGGAGTCGATGGATGGAGTAGTGGAGACGCTCATGTTGCCTAGTGGGCTGGGCAGTGGAAGGTCGAGTGCCGTGTCTAGTAGGGCCCCTAGTAGGAGGGGATCGGCTGAGATGCAGAGGAGGTGAAGAGCCCTGATGCAGCCTTTTGGCCGCTGGTTTGGTAACACAAAGGGCAAGGGCAAGTTTAGGGTGAGCGTGGAGGTGAGGGTTGAGGTGGGGTTTGATTGGTTCCTGGGCTGTTGGATCACGACTTTTACGAGTCTGCATTGTGGGCGTTTGCCTGCTTCGGCTTCGAGCGACTCGCTCGCATGACGATTTCTTGTCTTCTTTTTCTTTTTCTTTTGTTTATATGTGGTTTCAACATTATACCCCCCCTTGCACAGGCACCGGTTTGAAAGGTTGCGGAGGTGACATTACGCACCCACCGGTTTGGGCACTGGCAGGAAGTTTGGTTTAGCATGTTTTATTTTTACTTTTGGTTTTAGACGAGGAGGTGATGAAAATTCGGGGCCGGGATAGGAAGTTAAAAAGTTCTTTGGGGTTTACTTTGTGTGTATTCATCATCAGCATTGCTGTCTTCAACACAGCGGCATATTTACTGGCGTTTAGAGGGGATAAAAGAATCGATTGGGCTGCCTGTGGCATATGAGCAGTATTCGAGTAGCTTTGATACCAAGCATGAAGCATATGAAGCCAGCCATCTACTACTATAGAGTGTGAACATAATTTGATCAAATGTAGACTCTATTACAGCAGTGTACTTCGCTAATCCTCTGTAAGTGACCTAACCCATGGTGCTGGTGCTGGTGCCAACGCACAAGGTCAACATCCGGTGTTCACTGCCAGGATGTCACGATGCCAACAGGTAATGTGACTCAACAACTCATCCACCAAGGGCAACCAAGAGCTTCATCCATGTCACGATCAGCAGTCTCTTCACCTCCTGTCTCGGACGTCAAGCCAAGAGATGAGGAGTAAGGAGGAGTGGTTGGAGTGGACGGGTGTGGAACCCGGGTGCTGAGGTCGGAGACAACGCCACCGTAATCGGAGCTCACTCAACCTGTTCTCCAACTCTTTGGACGACATCAGGACCTGAACTTTCCCAACAGACGGTAGTATACCCGTACTGTACCGACAAGTAGGTGGTAGAAGAGTTATGAGGTACTTCCTCGCTAGCATCCGGTCTTCCGTCCGTGCATGCCTGTGAGCACTGAGCTCCCCAATCCCGTCTCGTGGTTTTGGATCGGGAGCCCCAGCTTCCGGGACCGGCGGTGGTAGTGCCAGTCTGTTGCCAGTGTCAGTGCGGTCCGGTCTCTCCCCATGCGATTTCCAGGGGCTGTGGGGAGAGCTCCGGAAGGAAAGGATGGAGGGATGTTATGGACGTTATGGTGAGGTCATCGCCATGGCCATCGCGGAGGGCGGGGAAGAGCAATGGGCAGAGAGCAGAGGTCAGCTTGAGGAGGCTCTTGCCAGTTTGACTTCCTTTGCTCTTCACTCTTCAGCTCTTGAGCTTTCAACTGCCTCACTCCGGAGGCCACGCCAAATGTACCGCTGCTTCCCATTCTCCCACAATCCAGAAAAAAAGATAAATATGAATGAAACCAAGGAATAATGAGCCGCTGCGATGCTATCGTCACACAAATCCGGGGTACATGAAGCCATCTCGAACCAGAGTTGGTATCTCGATGTTGAACTGCCGATTCAAAGATGCCTTGCCAAGAAACCAACGGCCAGGCAGCTCCAGGGCGTTTTCCAGTAGTGGAGCTTGCCGGATCTTGCCAGCCGGCACCCCAGCTCTCCAGGTCCCACCTTTCCGCTTCGAGGCGGGGATCTTATCGATAAGCGGCGCCTGCAGCTTCCCCCAGTTCGCCGCCGCGGTTAGTCACCCATCTGCTGTCATTCGGGCGACCGCATGCAACTGCTGTGCACCTTCCAACACTGCGGCATCAAAAGACTTTGATGACTCTTCAACCGCAACCCTGACGCGCAGATGCAATACTACAGCTTCCGTTCGACTCAGCCGGCGAGAAGAACATCACCGAAACTTCCCTTCTTCACCTTCTAGTCACAGACTCCTCTTCAAGGCATACAAGAAGGCACACTCTCCAGCCTTTGCCATTATCCATACTCCATTCTTTTCTTGCATCAGAGTTTAGTTTTGCATCAACTACTTGTTCATCGTCTGACGAAAAATACCGTCTCATCGTTGCCTCTACCTCCACATCCGTACCAATATACAATACCTTTCGTCCCAACTCTTCCGGCCCAATGATTCTTAGGATATATAGTTTACTTGTGATCTTTTAAACATTGGTGTTTTTGACCCCTCTTATCACTCACCTCCCGACCGCAGCGATCTCCAGACCAGGAAACACAGAACAAGCAGCCATGGCATCAAAACAGGCACCGCACGAACGACGAAAAGGCGAAGCTGCCCTTGGCGACTTTGCCGAGTACGTCGAGAGACAGCAAGCATTGCGTTACCCGAACAAGGCTGCCCAGAGCCAGAGTGCGACAACAAACGCCCCCGAAGTCGAACATCATGCCGAGCTCGACGACATCCTCGACAGTCTCAACCTCTCCGAGCCCGGTCCGCGAATAAGACTGCGCGACCTCCTCCTGTCCGCGGCGGATGATGACGCCTCCCTCCAGAAACTCGTCGACATCGTTGGCGAGCGATTAGACGAAGGCCACGGCGAGTCCGTCTTCGACATCGGCTTCGAGAACCACGGCGAGAGCATGAAGTTGACCAAAGAAGATTGGGAGGTGGCATACAAGAGGTTATCGCAGGCCGCAGCCAAGATTGATGCCGACTGCCAGCTGCTATTAACCAAGAACTTGGGCGGCGACCTCGACGGTACCCCGACACGCGATGGCGACGTGAGCGGCAAGGTGATGATCCGTCGACGCCCGTCCGCAGCCGAGGAGGTCATCGAAACACGAATAGCAGTCGTGGGCAACGTCGACGCCGGCAAGTCCTCGATGCTGGGTGTTCTGGTCAAAGGCGACTTGGACGACGGGCGCGGTCGCGCACGCGTGAACCTTTTCAGACACAAGCACGAGATCGAGACCGGACGCACTTCGTCTGTCGGCATGGAAATCATGGGCTTCGATTCGCACGGGCAGACCGTTCTCTCCGACACTCCCGGACGTAAGCTCTCGTGGGAAGAAATCGGCAAGCGCAGTGCCAAAGTAATCACCTTCACCGATCTTGCGGGGCATGAACGGTATCTGAGGACCACAGTCTTCGGCTTGTTATCATCGTCGCCGAACTACTGCCTCCTAATGGTAGCGGCCAACAACGGACTAATAGGCATGTCCAAAGAGCACCTCGGCATAGCATTAGCGCTAAACGTGCCGATAATGGTGGTCATCACCAAGATCGACATCTGCCCGCCCAACATCTTGGAACAGACCATTACCCAGATCACCCGCATCTTGAAGTCCCCTGGCGCAAGGAAGATCCCCATCTTCATCAAGAGCCGCGAGGAATGCATCAACACCGCCACGCAGTTCGTCTCCCAGCGCATCTGCCCCATCTTCCAAGTCAGCAACGTAACAGGCGAGAACTTGGACTTGGTCCGCTCGTTCCTCAACATCTTACCGCACCACGGACGGTACGACGCTGACGCGCCGTTCGAGTTCCATGTCAACGACACTTTCAGCGTTCCCCACGTTGGTACAGTCGTCTCGGGGATCGTTAAGTCGGGGGTCATCCATGCGGGCGATGAGGTTCACCTGGGGCCGGATGGCTTGGGTAAGTTCACGACCACGGCGATCAGGTCGATTGAGCGGAAGAGGATAGGCGTCCCGGCGGCGAGCGCGGGACAGTCGGCGAGCTTTGCGTTGAAGAGGGTCAAGAGGAAGGATGTTCGTAAGGGAATGGTGGTGCTCTCGAAGACTGAAAGTGGGCCGCCGAAAGTGTATCGGGAGTTCATTGCTGAAGGTACACACCCAACCCTCCCCCTTTTCCTCCTTTTCCTCTGCCCCTTTTGTCCTTTTCCTCATTTCTTTCTTCCTCGCTCTCTTCTTTCCCTTCTCTGCTTCCGACTAACAACCCCCAGTCCTAATCCTCTCCCACGCAACCACCATCAAAACTAAATACCAAGCCATGCTCCACGTCGGCCCCGTCTCCCAGACCTGCGCCATCATCGACGTCGACCGTCCGTTCATCCGAACCGGTGACCGGGCCACCGTCGCGTTCCGGTTCGTCCAGAGACCCGAGTACCTAGTCCCGGGAGACAGACTTCTCTTCAGAGAGGGCAGAACCAAGGGGTTGGGCATCGTCAAGAGTCTCGGGTATGATCCCGAACGGCCGTTGGGTGGGGTTAATGTGGGCGAGGGGGGTGATAAGGTGGCTGCGGGCGTCGAAGATGCTAAGAATGAGGGTGCCGGTAACGAGGTGAAGGTTGGTGCTTAATGGCCTGACGCCTGATGTTGGGGCATAACGTGGTGCTAGTTTGGGGTTGGGCATATGATGTTGTGATGACCCAAGTTGGCGTTCGTGTTGCTGTTCTTTCTTTTCCGCATGGCATCGTCTCATTGTTTTGATATCTCATATACGGAGCAGCGCACTTAGCGCGCAGTACAGGATTATTGTTTGATTATCTGCGGGTTTTCGAGTATCAGTATGGTCCACGTGGTTTTTTGTAATGTATCCCAGGTGGAAGATAAATGACTTACGGGTATTGGCATGACAAACACCAAAATGGAAAGACGGGAACCCTTAAGCATCGTACTGAGTTCCTTGTCAGAGTGATTTTTTTCAGCCTCGTCAAAACGAAGTCCTGCCTGACTATCAATGCTCCATGGCCGGGAATAACAATGGTATATCTGTGCCGTGATCTATCTTTCGGCTCCAATGACAAACGATGAACATGATGTGATGATGGTGATAGCCACGTCTAAAAGCCACCTCTCTCCTCGTTTCCCTCTCCTTCCCTCCTCCTAAAGCTCGGGTTTCCTTCGTAAGCGCCCCTCTCGACCTTGAGGTAGCCACCACCTAGGCTAACAACCCATGTCCAACTCCCACTGAGACCAACCCTCAGCTGCTGACTGCCCAGAACCCTCCGTCTGCCCCTTCCTTTTCCCTTTCCCACTCTCCTCCTCCTCCTTATCTACCCCTTCCCAAAACTGCGCCTCGTCCGCCACCTGCGATAACTTCCACTTGCCGATGGGCAACCGGTCCTGGCCAAGCGGGCCGGCGAAGGGTTTGATGCCGTAGCGGTGGCGGAAGTCGTGCTCGTCAACTGGTACCTTCGCATACACGACCTCTTCTCAAGAACGGGTATAGGGCGAGATGAGCACGACGGAGTCGCCGCGGACGAAAAGCATTTCGGATTTGCGGGAGATGGTCTACGCAGTGTTAGTATGTTGATGTGTCAAGGGAGATGAGGGGGTGGTTGAAGGAAGAAGGGGGGCAAGGGGTGAGAAGGAGGGCTGACCTTCAAATCATCCTCCTCGGTATCTTCATCATCGACGACGTAAATGGTCTCTTCGACTTCACCGAGGACTAGGTTGCAGTGGGAGTCGTAGGCCTACGTCACAATATCTCAGTTAGCAATGAGTGCCGCTCATGGTGGGTGAAGGTGGGTGGCATGGGAAAGGGTGACGACTGAAAAGGGGACATGTAAACATGAAGTGGACTTACGTGCAGACGGCCCTTGAGCTCCCGATCACCTCTCAGCTTGACGCAGACAACCTCATCAAGCAAAAGGCGGACGAGGTCCATGGGCTCGGAAACGGAGCCGGCATCTTCTACTGCGTCGGCCATTTTGTGTGATGTGTATTAAAAAGCCCCAAAACGAATAACGAGTGAAGGAAGAAAATGAAGTTTTGTCGTTGTGTTCCTGTTGTTGATGGACCTGCCCTGGAACGATGATGAGCGCCAGTGACGGCGTGGGGGTTTGCCTGCCCGATTGCAAGCGCTGCGGTTGAGGTCAGTGCCAGCTGGTCGCATGCCAAGAGCAAGGTGACGCACTGACCGCTCTCGGTGAGAACTTGACCGACCTTAAACGCTTATGCCAGAGCTTCGACTAGGCAAGGTCTTGGCAGGAACCGTCGCTCAAAGTGACGGAAACCATGCACACATACGGTAGAATCCATACGCACATACGATAACCCACCTCTTCAGAGTGTAAGCTGTTATCAATAACCACCAAGTTTTGTACTCACCTTACGAAATCTCTATTGTCTTTATAGTGTTATTCGAAGTTGGAAATTCGGCCATTTGTCAACCTTTAGCTGATGGCTGGTATTCCACTTAGAGGTATTACCCTACTATAAATACTAGGGAGGGTATTAAAAATTATGTTATATAAGGCCTAGAGGTCCTACCTTACCCTATTATATCTTTGTACAAGCAAAAACTACCTACCAAATAATCTTCATTTCTATGGGTAGTAATGAAGAAGTTGCTTATACCGCGTTGCTGGTACAAATAAATTCCGTGAGCCATTTATTATTGATTGATAGGGAGTGTGAACTTGAAGCTCTCGTCGCGGGACTTGAGAAGGTTCGTGGTCAGGACTCCGGATTGGCTGTACACCCTTAAAAAGTGGGTTTACCGTATGTGCGTATGGATTCTACCGTATGTGTGCATGGATTTCGTCAAAGTGACAGGCCTTCCCCGGATTTGCAGGCATCGCGAGATCCATCGCACTTCTCCTCTTTTAGTTAGCGGGGTTGACTTACACCTCAAAGACGACGAGACGGAAGACGAGCTTCAATTGCAGACGAGAGATGCCAATGGTATTGGTATAATACGCAGGCGACACCAACTCCCCAACCAATGGCTCCCCTCCTCTCCTGTCGCGGGGTTCGAATCCCTCCAAAGTCTCGACGAACCTCCGCCGTCAAGCTCCAGAAGCTCTCCCATTCTACGACCCAACAAGCAAAACCCATCTCAGCAATCCCATACCCAGGCAACTTTGCCCACCATGGCTTTGGTCACCAGCTTGACGAGCCCAGACAGCCCCTCGAACAAGACGAGCTCCTCCTCCTCCGAACCCTTCTCGCGAGACCCGTCGCCAAGAAACCTCGTCCCGCAAAACGATCGCCATGGATTGACGGCTTCACCAGCGCCTTCAGACAACCTCACAAGATGCTCGCCTACTTCAAGGAGAACAAACTCGAAATCCTACAACTTCCCCCAACAGCCTTCAGCGAGCTTCTCCGCTCCGTCGACCCAATCGAAGCCATTCGAAAAGACAAAGACCCGCTAGGAGATATCTGGGTCGACCCAGCCATGGCCGACTGGTCACCGCTGGGAGTTCTGGTCAATAATTATGGCGCCAGAAAGAGAAACACCGACCTTTACCCGCTCGTCCACGAAGCCGCCTTCCGTCGATTCCGCGCCGGCTCCCCTCTTCTCTTGTCCGACTACAAGGTCTTGCTACGATACGCCGGATCGATTTCGGACCCCCTCCTAGCCCGCAAGATCTGGTTCCACATGAACGTCTCCGAAAAGATGTGGGAGCGCCAGACGGACCTGTATGCCGAATTCCTCAAGGCCCGGTTCTTGACGGAACCGTTGTACACCCAAAATAACCGGCACGACTTCCGCGTCAAGCCTGTAAACCTGTTTCCCGAGAAGCGGTTCCTGCCGTACTTTACGCCTGACAACCTCTCCCAGCTGAGGCAGATGAACTTTGACGAGACCAACAAGCGGCTGGACAGATTTGGGCAGAACCCCGGGGCAGAGCACAAGGTGGAATACTTGATGAGGATGTTACGGCGGAGTTCGCCCGTTGATCTCGTCTTCGGCACCGCCAGAAACCGGTTACATCTGCTCTCAGAAGAGTTCATCTGCGCCGCGCTCATAGCCTACGCTAGAACAGGTGTGATGGAAGACGTCCAGTCAGTCCTCTACTTTAACTACAAGATCGACGTCTCTGGCTCCATCGAAACCGGCGATTTGAGCATCACCGGCGGACGGCGGGACTTCCTCCCCGGTTCACCAATGGCGCCCACCACCCGTCTTTTACAAACCATTGCCACCTGTTATGGGTCAAACGGCATGATCGCCATGGCGTGCAAGATGCTCGACCACGTTTCTGCGGTGTACCGCCTCCCGATTCCCTCGTCAGTCTGGTTCGAACTACTAGAATGGGCCTACATCCACACCTCTCCGCGCGCAGCAAAAGAGTGGAAGATCGTTAGCATCCCCGGTCGCCGCTTACACCGCAACGCAGTCCAACTAATCTGGGACACCATGACCTCACCCCCTTACAACGCCACCCCCGGCTTCCCTCAGTACAAAATTTACGTCGAGTGGCTGATCAAGAACAACAAGATCGAGCGCGCCATGCAAATAATGCTGGACCTCGAACCTCTCTACCGCAAACGAGTGGAGGAGTTACAATCCCTTTACCCCTTCCACGCTCTTGATCAAGCAGCATTCAACCACTCCCCAGCGTACGATACCATCCTCTGGGAGAGAACCCTACTCAGAAAGGACTACATAGTCCACACCTTTGCCAAATGGTTCTCCCTCCTCTTCAAGAGAATCAAATCCCCCGTCCACCTCCCCGGTCCCAAACCACCCAAGATCTTCCCCTCCCACGACATAAGCACCAGATTAATCCCCCAACTCATCCACGCTTTCCAAGGCCTTCTGCCCGATACGATCCACTACGAGATCCCCACCGGTGTGATCCGTTTCAAGCGTGGCGTTGGAGCCGCGCAAGGGTTTAGAGCGGAAAAGAGGTGGACGGAAGTCAAAAAGGCGGCGGTGGTGAGTATGGATTTGAGGCCGGAGACTGCGAGGGGATTCAACAGACTTCGAGAATATAGTTTGGACCTCAAGGGGGAGCAGTTGCAGAGGGCGGCGGGGGAGACTGTGGAGACGCTTAAGCCGAGGGCGGTGAAGAGAGAGGGGCTGGAGGAGTTGGTTGAGGAGATACTGGGGATGGATGAGATGGCACGGGGAGAGAGGGAAGAGGGACAGTTGGAGGTCGATGTAATAGACCAGGCTAGACGAAGGGGGAGGACTGTGGAGGAAGAGGTGAAGAGGGCGGAGAGAAAGAGGGCGGAGAAGGTGTTGAGGTTGTTGACGTAGAGGTGTTGAGGTTGGACAGGTTGTGGTTGTGGATGGTAAGGGTACACGTACTGGTTGCGGTGCTGGGATTTCCTTTTCGGAGGCGGGCTTGAGGGATATGAACGATTGTGTTGACGACTTTATGACTATAAGTACTTGACGAGATATAGATACCCGACCAGCGAACGCATTGCGCTGGCGTTGCCTGAGCTTCATTGCAATTATTCTTTTCCAAACTGCCAACGCCATGATGCTTTTCCATATGAGCTCCAAGATGCTATCCCGCTTAACTATGCTAGTCACATCGGCCGTAACGTATGTTTCCAATCTTTCTGCCCAGGCAAAAACCCATCTCCTCTTTCTCCATGTCACTCATTGGGCCCCTTCAGTCTTTCGCTGTAGCTGGCGCAACATCCTCCCTAACCAGACTGTTGACATACATATACCTACTCAACCCAATCCACCCATACCTGAACCAGCGCATCTGGCTCACATGTGCCTTTGTCATCGCCGCCCACGCTTTGTCCACACTTGCCCACCCCTCCCCAGGGACGAGGTTATTCATAAACACCAATGCGCCCGGCCTTTCCTGCTTATCCTTCTTCGTAATGCCCGCTGACCATGCCCACTCCAGCAGGGTAGGAAGGGCGTCAACAATCCCGCTGTACTTGCGGGCAAGGCCGAGCGTGGGGAGGGTATATATATCCACCTGCCCTTGTCCCTTTCCCTTTTCCTTGCTTCCAGCCGTAGCAGCCAACAACTGGCTAACAAACAACCTAGCGCCGTGATAGAGGGAAATATGATTCGGATGTCCCGAGATTCCGTGCTTATCAAAAGTGATGATGGTGTCGATCGTAGGCTTGACCTCCTCCCCCTTTTTATTTTCTTTGTTCTTCCCCGACGATCGCAAACTGGCGGAAGCAGGGTTGGTGGTCTCGTTAAGTCCGGGAGCAAAGGCCGAGGCTAGCAAGTGGGAGATGCGCTCGGGGTCCCAGTGAGTGGTCATGCTATCGGGGAAGAATGGCGAGTCGATTACGAAGACGTCGGAGGGGGAGCGGAGGCCGAGGAGCGTGCCGGATTTGGCGAGTTCGCGCTTGCGGGTTGGGCCGAGGCCTTCTGCGTCGCCTGTTGTTTGGGGTGTACGTCAGCAGTGGAGAACGAAGAAAGGAGATGCGAACGGGCAACAACATACCACTACTCAAACACAAAATCTTGACATGGTTCCCCGTCTCTGGCCTCGTAAGCGCCAGCACCGTCGGCGCAAAGAACATGGCCTCATCGTCCGGATGGGCAATCAGCAGGCATATCCGCTTGTTGCGCAGGACGGGGAACCGCGTGGCGACGATGGAGACGGTGTAGATGTAGAGCGAGGGGATCACCACGGCGGCGAGGCCGAGGGCTGTTAGCCAGTTCATAGCGGCGCTGGCTGTTGTTAGGGTTAGAGGATGGTCGGGACAAGTTGTGGTAGCGTCATGGACGCGGTGGTGGACTGGTGGTCCCCTGAAGCTTGCGGCAGGACGGGAGCTTGGGCGCTGGTGTGGAGGCGGGGATGTGAGGCAGGGATGTGTTATCTTATCGCGGTCGGGCCCGCTTGGAGGATGGGCGGATTGTGGGGGAGTGGAGGCCGAGGCTACAGGTACCTTGAGGGCCTCCTACTATGGAGAAGACATTGTCCTTGTGGACGTCTACGAGAAGGCAGAAACCAAACACGAGGTTGGGATTGAATTTCCCCGCCTCTATCAGCGGCGGAACGGCAAGGGCCGACGGGAGGTGTGGTGGGATGGAAGACAAGGAGGGAGGGAATGTCTCGCACGAGGGTCACAAGGTTCCATGTTCAACTGGGCACCTCTTGTACAACAACATGCAAGGGAGTCCAAGAGGAGCCTCTACCAGTGAGGAGTTCTCGATAGTGCAAGCACCACTCTTATCACCTGTAGCCTCTTCGGATGCGGGCAACCGAGTCGTGTTGAGGCTGTAGAACCCCGGAGGAAGAGGAACATTTCCAGAGCCTTGCACAAGAAAAGGTACCGTACTTGGTTGCCTACTTTCTTGCAACACCAATATAGGATCTACACAATCGGATAATAGACACAAATGGCCAAGAACTCGGTGGATGATGGCCGAGAAGTTGACATATGTGGTTGATATAGCATCTTGAAGAAAAGTCAAGTGTCAAGTTGAGGGGGTTAGGGTACGGGGACAAGTGGGGCCATTGCGGGAGCTAGCGGCCGACCCACTGAAAGCTCCCCTAACTCACGTCTTCGATTCCATCGTCATCATTCCATTCCTTCCATGCCATTGTCCCCAGAGCCGCAATAATTCTTCTTCGTCCTTCGTATCGCCAGACACAAACACCACAATGGGCCGAAAACGCGCCGATTCCCCGTCCAACATCAAGTTCCAGCAGCCCGACCGCAGCGGACCCAAGGAAAAGACCCTGCTAGAATTGGCCGAGGAAAGGGGGCTCTTCGCACAAGCGCAAAAGAAACAGGAGGAAAACGACAAGTACTCTAAAACCAAGATCAAAAAGATTCCGATAAAGCCAGAGAACCCTAACGACCATGACAACGAACCACTGTCCCCCGGAGCCGAGCGCTTCCTCGACACCACCCTCTACACCATGAGCCTGACCATGCTGCACTTCACCTTGGACGTCCTTGTCCAGAACCAATATTCCGCCGATCGCATCGTGTGGCCCAAGGTTTGGATGAGAGCATTCCAGGCCTTGTTTGGTATGTCAATACGAGCCTAGGGTTAATATTACCCACTGACGTCTTCCTGCCCAGTCTTCGGCTTCCTCATCTACACCCTCCACGCTCACTCTTCGAACCCGACCATCCTCCCCGGCCTACCTGCCCGCTTCCAAAACCATCTCCGACAGGTCATCTTCCTAATCATGAGCGTGACCTCGGGATGCTACCTGATCCACATCACAAACACATACGGATACCTGGCCGTCATGAAGCAAGCGCCACCCGTGGGTTGTCTGTGGGTGTGGTCCGTCATTGAACTCCAGCTTCCGTGGGCTGTCCTCAGCCTGGCAGTTGCAGGCACATATCTAAAAGTCAGAGGTTATGACATCAAGTGAGATGGTCTGGTGGTCAGCACGGAGGAACCTGGTTCTGAAAGCCAAGCAAACCCAGAGGGGGTTGAGGACTGGTGGCGCCCGTGTCGCGTTACGCAAACGGTTTTATTATTACAGCACTCTATCCACGAGGCAGACGCCAAAGACGCCACAAGTAACCATTGCGTATCAAAATGGTTGGACAGAGTCCGCTTTCTTCACTGATAGCAGACGACCACAAAAAAAGGCGACGACACGGCAACCATGCAGCAACACAACAGGTTCGGGCGTTAACATTCCCTGCAAAAAGCGTTGTCGTTGTTTACATTGCTATGCATTTGCTTATCAAACCCCTGCCTATTCACTGCTCAATGGTAGTCTGACCTGTCGCGGCGGTGTAGCAAATGCACCTTTTGCAAACTTCTTCAATATGACCCGAACACGTCGACCATTGGCGTGTCTTCCCGGTCCACCATGTCAGATATCGTTGGACCGTATATGCGAGGCTAGGAGGATGAGCGCTGCAATGCAAATCCATTATCCACTGTTTACACAGCGTCCCGTGGTTGCGAGGGGTCGTACTGCCAATTGCAAGGCTGAGAAGGATGCTCAACCGGTCTGAGACGGCCCCCAAGGGATGAGACTCTGACGTTCAAATCACACCCACCAAGCACACCCAAGAAATACAAAAAGGGCGCTATCAGCAGCTATAGGAGGCGCTTTGGGCATCATTCCGGACGATCATCTGAAGTTGACTTGTGAGGCTTGTCTCGGCGTTCGGACTACTTGTTCTGGCAATTTGAAGTGGGAGAGCGGCGCCGCGGATATGTTTGCCTGCTTACAAGAAGACTGTAGTTGATGTATCGTAGTTGTATATAAGTCCAGTCGGTCTCTGTGCCCGTTCGAAATAGAGTCCGGTTACTTTTCCTGGTACGAGTCCTTTCATTATCTGCTGTCTTTTGCTACGTTCTGCTACAATCTTTGAGTGTACCGACTCAGTCTTCCTCACTAAAACACTACTCGTCGGACAAGAAATTATCCATCTCGAGAGCCACAATGCGCTGGTCAACTTTTCTGCCCGTCGGGGCTCTCGTGGCCCTAGGACGTGCGATCCCAACTCCATCGTAAGACCGTCGTCCCTGAAAATGCAAATATCACATCTGACACCGATCAACAGTAAAAGGCTTCCCACCCGGGACTTGTATCCAAACAACTACGGTCCAAACAACAACTATCCCAACGACTACTACCCCAACCAGGACACCTCGTCCTCCTCGGGCTCCTCCCCATACCTCCGCCGAGCAGTGCCCACCGGCCTCATAATCAACCACTGCACAACCCCCGGCATCGTCGCCCTCACCTTCGACGACGGCCCCTACATCTACACCACCCAACTCCTCGACAAACTGGCCTCCTTCTCGCCCCCAATCCACGCCACCTTCTTCGTCAACGGCGCCAACTGGGTCTCCGCCATCGACGACGAATCCACCCCTTACCCAGGCATCCTCCGTCGCATGCTAAGCGAAGGCCACCAAATCGCCAGCCACACTTGGTCCCATCTTGACCTAACGACCGCCAGCACAGCGCAGCGCGTCGAGCAGGTGACCAAGCTCGAGGACGTCTTGCTGAGGGTAGTCCGCGTCAAACCGAAATATATCCGGCCGCCCTACGCCACTTGCGAGAACGGATGTCTGGAGGATCTCGAGGGGATGGGATACCATGTCGTTAATTTCGATTTGGATACCAAGGATTATGAGAATGATAGTGAAAGTGGGATTCAGGTGAGCGTGAACAAGTTTAATAGTGAGCTGGGGAGCAATCCGGCGACGGACTCGGCGATTGTGTTGAGTCATGATGTTCATCGGTGGACGGTGGAGAGGTTGGTGGATGAGATGGTGGGGACGGTTAGAGCGAGGGGATTTAGGACGGGGACGGTGGGGGAGTGTTTGGGGGATCCGGAGAGTGGGTGGTATGCTTAAGGGAGGTTGGGTTGGATACCTAAGGTATGTTGTAGAGGGATTTGGGGGTTTGGATGTGTTTATGTGCTATGATTTATGCTTGTGTGGGCTTGGGGAGGCCATGGTGTTGAGAATACCCCTTCACTTTCAACGTTTGGATTTTGCCTACTATCTTGCTTGGAAACTCTGGGTCTTGGTTAAGTGAAGGTCGCTGGAGGTGTATATAGGTATTTGGAGGTTCTTGACGATTCTCAGGCACCTTTTGTGTCGCTAGCGAATAACCCCGACTGGAAGAATGGATGTTCAGTGCCTCGAATGAAACCCATGATGTCTGTTTCACAGGATGTCTAACAAATTACATGCAAGGTACCCGTTCTACCGTCCTCGGGCCGTCCCACCAGTTCGTTTCCAAGAACTCCGGGAACGGGGGAATGGGGAACGCGGAACTTCCAGCATCACCAATGTAAGTCGTGATCTCCAAGCCCCACATTTCCCCGTCCAGCGTCATCGACTTTTAACACCACATCAACACTCGCTTTTCACTCCGATTTCTCACCACTTTGCGATTTCATTTCGAACACATCTTTTGCATCATTAGAGTATATCTTGAATACAAACCAGATCGAAGTCGTATTTTTCATTTCACCCCCCCAGTCATAACCGCCCAATGAAACTGCAAGACATCTCCCTCACCCTCCCCCACAAACCCTCAGCCACTCTGCGCATCTCCGCCCTCTTCCCCGGGACATCCTCCCCGGACTTCGCAGACTCCCCAGACATCGCAGCTTTACCACCCTCATCAACCCTCCTCGTCTTCCTCAACGGCCTCATCCTCCCTCGCTCCTCCTGGTCCGAGGCCATCTCCCGCTTCCTTCGCATCCGCAACAAGCAGCGACGGTCTTCTACTTCGTCCAATGCTTCGTCATCTTCTCCCTCCAATACTGGACCCAAAGCAGGAACCGGGACTGTGTCTAAAAACGGTAACGGCAACAACGCATCTGCGGCGGTAGGAGAGACATGTGAAAATGGGATACTACCCGAAATCCCCAACATCCTAGCCTACGACCGCTTCGGCCAAGGCGCCTCCTCCCCCGACCCATCCGATCCCGATCCGGCCGTAGACGACACTCCCTACGGCCACACACCAGAGGACGTAGTCGACGACTTCCACCAGTTGCTGCTCCTAGTCTCTCGCCAATTCCTGTCTCGGCGGGATCTGAAAGAGCTGGACGTGGTGATAGTAGCGAATAGCATAGGCTGCCCCCTCGCGCGGCTCTACAACGCTCGCTACTACCCTGATGTGCGGGTAGTCGGGTACCTCTTCCTCGATTCAATGATGGCCAATTCAGACTTTGTCTCCGTGTTTCCCGATCCGGATGCGCCTGGGTTTGATCCCGGAAAAGATTTGAAGGAGGGGGTGGATGAGGAAGGGCTGAGATGGACGAGGAGGATGTTTAGGGACAAGTTTCATCCGAGGGTGGGGAATCCTGAGAGGTTGGATAGGAGGGGGTTGAGGGGGTTGTTGCCTTGGGCTGATAGACCGAAGCTTAGGTTGCCTGGGGAGGGTGAAGGGAGTGAGGATGATGGGAGGGATGGGGATGATGGGAAGAAGCAGGATAAAGCGAAGAAGGAAAGTACCAGAACGACGACGAAACGAATCACCAGACTGAGGGTGATAGTCATCGGTCACGATTGGGACGTCTTTGCTGAGCATAACGAAAAGGTCTGTTCCTTCTCCTTCCCATTCCCCTTCCCCTCCCATTGTCCAAACTACCTACCACCTTCTACCCGCCAAACAGTTCTTCTCACACCATCACCCCCCTCCACATTTACAGGGCCCAATGTCCATCCCCAAAGCTGTCATCAACGGGTACATGAACCCAGCCTGGCAGCGGTATAACGAGGGGTTGACCCGTCTAGCGACGGTTGACAGTGACAGTGACAGTGACGAGAATGTGGTTCCGGTCAAGATTGCGAAGGGTTGTGGGCATTTCATCCAGAAGGACGATCCGGAATTGGTGGCGAGGGAGGGGAATTCGTTGTTGAGGGGTCTTGGGTTATAAAAGGTGGGTTTGGATGGCGTTTGGGGTGAAGGATTGGGCGGAATGCTGACTGTTAGAGGTGATGCTCGGGATGCACGGGAAGTGCTATGGATAGAAAGCAGCGATCCGCGATCATGATTCAAGGCTCAAAGCTGGCCGAAATGGACCCGTGGTATACAAGACACCTCATCTACTCCCTTCCTGCCTCCTCCCTCAGCCCATCTTCATGATTCCCATGCCCCCTCAGCCCTTTCACGCGCGTAGGAAGGCACCTAAAACGGCCAATCCATAACCGTCCTCTCCTCATTCCTCTTCGTCACCTGCACCTCATCGCCCACACTAATCCACACTTCCCGCTCCATGTCCTCTTCTCGCTCCTCCTCCCCTTCCTCCATGTCCTGCTCCTCCCCGTCCTCATCAACAGCCGTCTCCCCCACAAACCCATACCGTCCAAACACAGGACTCCACTTCATCCCCGGATCTACTCTCCGATCCTTCATCAGCTTCTTGAGTACAGTCCCCATCTCCCCTTTGGCCGTCTTGCCCGTGTCATAGTCGACGTTTAGACTGGTGCAGCGGGCGCAGTTGCCTGTGAGGTGGAGTTTGGTTTTCGTTTTCTTGATCCTCGTGGTAGTCCCGTTCGCTTCTGTTGCTGGTGAAGACTTCGCGGAAGAAGTAACGACAAGTTCACCCCAGTAATCCTCTGCCCAAGCTTCCTCCCCTTTACCGTCTAGGACGAGGTTAGGGCGCATTTTATACATTGGGACCTGAGGGTGTGTGGATTCGGTAGATTCGGTGGATTCGGTCGTTTCAGGGGCGAGGCGGGCGGAGACGTTAGAGAGGGAAGATTCTGAGGTGATCAGCAAAGGCGCCACGTCGGTAAACGTAATCCACGGCTTCGGTTGTTGTTCCTCTTCTTCGCGTTCTGCTTGGATGGCGACGAACCCAGGAACGGAGATCGGGACGGTGGGGAACCAGGAGGTTAAACTCGCTAGGCTGGAGAGCCATCCCCCTCCTCCTCCGGACTTTTGCTGCGGATGTTGTTGCTGCTGCTGCTGGGGGGTCAATTTTCCGGACTGACGCCGCGAGCTAGCGTGTGAGTGTGAGTGCGCTCCCGATGCTGTCGTCGGCGGTAGCAAACTCGTCCCCAAAATCTGCCTTTTCCCATCCCCAAGATAAACAAAAACAACCTCAAACCCAAACCGCTCCGAAAACCACCGATCATACTCCTCCCCGACCTTGTAGCACGTCGTCGGGCTCCCATGCAAATCCACCTCTACCTTCTCCAGCTCCTCAATCCTCGGCGGCGGATCGAGCTCAACGGTAATCGTCTCCGCTTCCAGCCTCTTTAGCTTTTCCCTCTCTGCCTGCTCCTGCTCCAGCTCCTCTCCACCTTCACTGCCCCCGGTGGGCAGAGACGGAGCGTGCCATTTCACGAGAACCTCCTTCTGGCTGTCTTCGCGCGAGAGGATGGTCTGTTCGAAGAGGGCGCATTGCGGGTAGGAAGAGAGTTGCATCTTCTTCAACTCGGTGGACATGGAGCTGCCGTCGGCTTTGGTTTTGACGTGGTAGAGCATGAAGGTGCGGTCATATTTGATGCCTTGGGGGGTGAGTTGGGCGTGTTGGAGGGGGATGGGGCGGAGGGCTTTTATGGGGTAGACGTAGAGCTGAGGGCAAGAAGAGGTGTTAGCACTGGTGCCGTGGTGATGAGAGTTGTGTTGGTGGCGTGGAGTGTGGATAGAGGGTGCGGACGGAAATGGAAGAGAGGATAAAGAGTGCCTGGTGTTTTGACTTTTGAGGGTGGGCATGAGGGTAACGGAGAGAGAGGCGCGGGGATAGTGAGGGGAGGGGAGGGAGGGACATACCTGTGTGATCTTCATGGCTGCGGTTTTCACTTGTCTGCTTGCTGTCTTTGGGTGTCAAAGTGTGAGAAAGTGAATACGATAAAGGGCGCGCGAGTGGTTATCACTTTGACCCCAGGCCGGTTGGTTATGAAAGAAAGATGTTTGCCTCATACAAGTTCAGCTGGGTGAGTTTATGCCCTGTGCTGTCGAACTTCTCGGCGTCGGTAGATAATTGTTAGCGCTCCCGGTCCAGCCCCGGGAAAGAGGAGTCAGGGTGCTCTTGAAATTACCTGTTCTGGTTTAGCGTGTACGATCGTTCCACAGCGAAAGGGCGCGCCCAGGGACGCTAATGCACATGGAAAGCACATCAGACGAATGGGGTCTAGCCGCTGTGGAGACTGGGGAGTCAGTTCCCTGGGCGTTTTATCCCCATCATTGTTTGCCATGGACGACGTCTCTTGAGCTCGTGTTTCATCAGTCATCATCACCACCCGATCTGCAACAAAAAGGCATGGAAAAGGCAGGATTTGTCAATATCACAGTCAAGGAGTTCTACATCCCCGTGGGTATTTGGCACAAGGATAAGGAGCTGGCCGAAAAGGGCCTCTGGTGGAAGGTTTGTAGGGATGGAGATCGATCTTAAAGGTAAGTCCACGGATTAACCGAAGCTACCTCTACAGATAAATTCATATTGAAGGCGTTGCTGAGAGATTGGATAAGCTTATGCTAGAGGTAACTCGTTGTTAGGATACCTCAACTACATCTTCAATGTTGTCATGGGGTGGACCCCCGAGGAGACTGCGGTCTACGCCAAGCATCTTCGCAAGGAGCTGAACAATCCTAACATCCACGCCTACTTTAAGGGGCGTACTGTTTACGACCGGAAGCCGCAGCCGGGTGAGGTACCTGAACCTAACTAATTGCGGGGGGGAACTTCGGGGAAAGACGGTCATGAAGATTATGGGGTATTTTCAATGTTACACTTGCTGGATGTTCTCTCCCGTGTTGGGCACCGAAACTGACTACGACACTTCCCTGTAATTGAAGACTACAAGCACAAAAGAAGCCCAAAACTTGAAAAGTAGGTATATGATCATATTGGTATTCACTATTCTCCTAAAAGGGGTCCGTGATATTGCTGCAATTACAGGGGGTGTTACTCGTTTGGAAACATTTTTGCCCAGTCGGAATGGGGGTTTTTACTGTACAGCCAAATGCCAGACTCCGAAGCCGGTATTTTGGCCCTCAGCTCCTCTGATGAACATATATGGAGTTCCCAGTTGGAATCCCACTCAGCCAAATTGGTCTGGTCGGGAGTTCCGTAGACATTGTCCGTGTCAGTATGGCCGCTTTGCCCCGGTATGCTAATCTCACTGGGCAACCAGCAGCTAGTGGGCTCCTTGTCGAGTCTCGCCGCATTCCAGCACCAGTCGTGAGCAGGAAGTCCGTACACCTCCTTAAGGGCCTTGACGTCCAATCCAAGCTCAGAAGCACGACGCTCGAGATAGTCGACAAAGTGGTTGCGAACGCTAGCATCGTGGCATAGCGAAGCCTGTTCATACAGCTGTCTGGACGGCTTGGGTGCCAACTTGTCCCACAACTCCTTGTAGTTGCCGGCAATGCAGGCCATGGCTACTTGAAGGTGCATATCCGGACGACGTTTGGCGAGGACTGCCAGCGTTTCCTCGGCAGGAATAAGGGGCCACCATATCATTCCAGGTATCTCGTGAAACTCCTTTTCTGGATGTGGATCTGTTTCGGTGATGTGCGACAAGTCATTGACCATGATGAAGCGTGCGAGAGTGGCCGCTCGGATATCAAAATCCCACTCCTCCCGTGCCTGAAGCGACCACCACTTGGCGAAGGTAGTGTTGTGGTATATGCCGCGAAGGACGGCTCCATGCTCTTGCTCGACCATATGGGGCCGACGCAAGCGAAGATAGCGGTCCAGGTTCCCTTCATAAGCCGCCATAACGATCAACGGATCTTTGATGATGGTGGGCAGATGCAAGGGCAGAGGCGTATAAAGCAGTCCGACGTGTTCTGCAGGCAGCGTTCCTTGTGACGGGAAGGACGATGCGTGTGTCGAGGCCTCGGCAACGTGGCCGTCCTCGTCGATGTCGAAAGAGCCGACATCCGGGACAAGCCCGCTATCATCATCCATGTCCTCCGGGGCGACTGTCCCATTCAGTGTTGATCGGACGGCGGTATCTCCGTTCATAAAGGCCGGTGACCGTGGGTTTTTGTGGTGGACAGACCTGGTGTAATCGTCCAAAACGGCGTAGCAAACTGGTTGTTTCATGATGTGCTCAAAGATGGCCTTGGATCCCGCTTTTGCCGCCGAGTTATCTCTAGCCTCTTCAGCGATAGAGACATCGGGAAGGATGTCAAGTTCATGATACAATCCGTCATATCCCGCCACAGCGCATGCCCGACCAACGGTATATGCCATGTCGGGATAGCGCTTTGCCAAACGTCGGTATGTCTCTTCTCTGGCAGTGTCGGGGTGCCAGAAACAGTAGGGCTTGACATCATCCGTCGCCATATCCGGGACCTCGTTGCTCATGATAAGCCGGGCATTGCGTGCCCTAGCATAGCGTTTGTCCGCAGAGGTCTCGCAAAGCTTCACAACTGCTTCAGACCTGGCAAATGCATCGTTGTGTCGTATGCCATGGATGGTGCAAAGGTCGAGCCCGCGTGTGAAGCAACTGGGAAGACGCTCCCCGCGTATTGCAGCGCGAGACTCATGGTCGTCGGGGTAAGGTTTGTTGACGGATGGCGACTCGCCGCTTTTCCATCTGTCATAGCGGTCAAATAGTGACATTTGGCGCGAAAATAAGCCGGAGAAGGCCTTTCGTGGGGCAGACTTCCCGGTGTATCTCAAGAAAATGGACATTGATGTGTTTGGTGTGAGGAAGGAAGGGGGCAGCCCGACGGGAGAAGTTTAATAGAAACTGGCTCGCCGAACGATGGTAAGAAAAACCGAACACGGACAATTCAATGTCGCTCATTGTGGTTGGGAAAGACCGCAGAATATATACACCCATGGTGTGATGTACTGGCCGTGGTAAGGTAGGTACCTTATGTTCGGTTTATTCTTACGACCATCGCTCACCCATCCTCCCAACTTATCTGTTATAGGTAGGTAGTACCTGTGTCGGTACTTCTGCCCCTGTAGGTATCTTTATTGTCTACCCGATCCTACCTGTACATACCTCACACAGTAGTGTATGTACCTAGCCGCTTGCAATCCCTGCGTCGATCCGGCGTAGGTGTTCCGGAGGTACACCTAACAGCACAACCCTGTCCCGTCTGGCAGGCTGCTCCTGTTCAGGTTTTAACATGCACGTGGAAGTCCCATTGATGCGTACATCGCGCTTCCGAAGTCGCTATTCCAACCACCTCGCTACTCTACAGCTACCTCTATCTTACCCCTAGGCGCACCGAACAACGCCCGGCCATCCATGTCCCGATACTTCTTCTAAGTTGCCATGATACATGTACATGCCCGATTTTCTCGGGATAGGTTCCCCTCCAGTCCTGTGGCAATACCAGCCTAGCTCAGCAATACTTACACGCTCCTTCGGGACAGTAACCCCGACTGCAAATGAACTCACACATATCAACATAATATGCATAGTCCGAGTTGGTAGGGCTCTGGTTGTCTCCAGTTGGGTTGGTGCCGCAACTGCTACCGCCGCGGAACGGGTGCAAATACAGGCAGAATCGAGGCAGTGGTCGTAATCACAGCTGTAGGAACAAAGTCCTATGAGATTTGCCCGAGACCTCATCAGCCGTGGTACCACCTTGTGGGGAAAAAGAAAGTTAGCATGGATTTCTCGCTGTGAGGTGCTGCCTGTGGCCAGTAATAACATACCTGTGCAGTGCATAGTGGAGGAGGGCAATGCAGTGGAAGTAGTTATTTTGCTTGAAGTCAGTGATCAGTGACGACGATGATGTCCGAGCAGCTGAAGACGCAGCCGTACTAGACCCAGAGATGGCGGAGGAGGAAGAGGTCGTTGAGGTCATTGAAGATGGGTCCGACGGTGTCGAGGTAAAAGAAGAAGAAGAAGAAGAAGAAGAAGAAGAAGAAGAAGAAGAAGAAGAAGAAGAAGAAGAAGAAGAAGAAGAAGAAGAAGAAGAAGTGGCCTGGGTCGTCCCCCACTGGGGTCGAAGACAAGCAAGCTCTACCACTGGCTGGACCGAACCAGCATACCCAGAATTGTACCCAAACACAGTAGCAACAATGTAGGTTCTGTTGGATGCAGCATAATACGATGTCTGGTTGTTTGGGTCGTTGAAATTGGTGCCAACCATCCACGATAAACGTCCGACTTCATCCACCGCGAAACTTCTGGCTGCATCATCATCGTCGAGATCGGACGCCTCGCAACCTGTGAAGAATTAGACGTCACCCTCAATTCATGCCCACTCGTATTTGAAGATTGCACTTACCCAGAACATCTGCTGTAACCCTTCCCAGCGTGGTTTGGCAGCTTTCCGTGATGGTGTCAAGGGCCCATCCGCTGCACATGGTACCGCTCTCGGGATCGCTCTTGAATGCTCCCCAGTTCTGAGTCAAGCTGGCTTTCAAGTCTTTCTGACATTGGCTGGGCAGAAAGGAACAGTCGTGCGCAATATCCGATGTTGGGTCAGGCAGCGTGCTGATGTAATAGTGTTGACAGACATACCACGAGGAATGCATGCTCTTGGGGAGGCCATTTTCCTTCCTCATGGAAGGTGGAATGCCGAAATTGAGAGCTGCCACGTTGGTTGTGACATTCTCGTCCGTCACAGCGGGCGGGAAACGCACCTCGTCCGCTATCCGCAAATGGGCAGTGAAGCCTGATAGGGGACTCCCGGGGTACGGCTTTGTCCAGTCCAGACCGGTGAAACTGGCAATGTCCGAGCGGTTGGGGCTTGCAAAGGCGGCTTGTAATGTGGACCACGACATCTGGACGACATTGTACGCGGCGGCAAGATATTGTGTATTGTCAAAGTAAATATAAGAAATGTCAGTTGTTGCCTTGGCGAGGTGGCCATGACCAAAGAGCAGTAGCGCCAGTGACAGAGCGCCAGAGCTGATGGCAAACTTGACGGGCATGATGAGGAACAGCCAAGTGGCTCTGAGGTCTGGTAATTGGGATGTTTAGTGGAGGAATGTCTTGAGGTTGGGAGTCAGTCAACATGGCGACACTTTGGTTTTAAAGGGGGCATGGCCATCCCAAAAGACTGACCGATACAGTTGGTCCCGAGGCGCTTCGGGTCGCAACGCTATCTATCCTACACGTACACTAGGTTTGGATCCAGGGACCCGGGCACGACATCACATCAGTTCAGGTTGACTGTAACAGCAGAAGCAGGAACATTTTTTTCAATAGGGATTTGGATCAAACAGGAAGGTGGGCTACTTATACTAGCATAGTGGCACGAGTGGGTAACATGGAAGACATCCCATAGGTACTACGCAAGGTAGCATCAAAAACCAACAAGGCTTGTCGGCCCGCAAAGGGTTGTTGGTTCCTGAAAAGCGCTTTGTCAACCTTGGTCGAGCCCGACTTTTGAAGATTGCAGTCACAAAATCCTACACTCTGATCAATGTCACCTGCCCCTGGTAACCTGCCCCTGGTAACCTTCCTCATGGGAAATCGGCAAAATGGCCCCCTTCTAGACAGGCAACAGTCATCTCCGGGTTCGTGCCTAATGGTCAAATGGTCCTCAGGTACCTCAGCTCGCTCAGGTACCTACATGTACCTCTACCTAGAGGTAGTGTAGTTTTCTGGTTCCTATCATCAACAGTCGGAATTTGGTGAGGATTGGAAAACTGATATTGCCGTGACGAGAACTTTGAAGGGACAGGTGGGATAAGGCCCCTGATGGCAGATTAGAATAGATACCTTCAGTACCGTGGTTACACAGTAGGCATGGGAGGCTTCGACGGTCTCTCATGTGCATCTGAATGCAATACAACCTCAAGATATTCGCCCTGTGCGCCAATCACTATGTTTCCTCCAGCCGAACGAGTGATATCGAATCATGATTCGCTGTATTGCAGGCAGCTAGGGGTAATGACGGAGCAGATGCGGAGTGAGGAACGGAAAGGACCGAGGGTGAAGCGGGTGAAGAGGGGATGGTGATGGTTGACAGTTATGATAACGAATATGTTGAACATTCAGAGAGGCCATTGGTAAAGGACAGCTTTGGGAGATCTCATTGTGATGAATCAGAGCCACTCGGCTTGGAATAAGGCTGATGAATTGCAAGCCCAATATTCGGGCTTGTGTGTTTATCAGTCATGGTCTTTTTAAGCGAGGCCGCGAGGGGCTGTTGATGGCCTGATGCTGCTGTTGCAAAGCGGATATTGGTGGGGGATGGGGAAAAAGAACATGATTCGAGGCTTGAGATGGGCATTGATAGCAATTATGACGAAGCCAGAGATGGCATGATGTCGTTGAGGGTTGGTACTTTGTTGCGTCGGAGCGAGTGATGTTGCAAGGTAGAAGTCCGATAAGATGGATGATATGGCTGGAGATGGAAGAAATAGGTGAGCTGAGGTTGGAAAGAGTGCGGATTGGCCAGGACAGTAAACCCCAACCCTGGCTCGCCCGGGACAGAAAAGCTGACCTTTTTTGCCGATCACCCGTTAAGATTTGGCATACACTAGTGTACAATACTGGTTTGGTTGTTAGCTCGAGACTCTGGTCAACTTTCCTAGGCGTTTATATATCTAATTGATCCGTTTCGTTCCACAACCAAAGCGTGATCTTGCCTTGCATATGCTATTTTGAAAATTTGATATGCCATATTGAATCTTGTTAATGCCTTTCCGATCCGTACCTAGCCATTTTGTAAAAGGTCTCATCCTGGACGAGCCTGGGTTTCTGCCTAGTGCCTAGAGTCTGGTGCCCCACAATTGTCAAGTGCAGGGTGCCCGGGCCCGCAGTCATGTGCCCACGCGACGCGCTGCTGTATTAGTGTAAGCCGTAGAGGTGTTCACCAGTTCACGCTCCGCCGGCCTTGCTCAATTCTTCAACAAGACAACAAATGCGACAAAATGAGCAACCATCCCGCGTCTTCATCGCGCGCCGGATCGCCTTCATCAGATAATGTCCTCTTTGATCCTTCCCATCCTCTCAAGGGCGTCGTCGTGTGCTGCACCAGCATCTCGCCAGAACTAAGGGTACCTGCAGCCTCGCCCTCCCTCCCCGCAGCCTTGACAGCCAACTGACTCTTGAATCAACAGACAGACATCGCCAGCAAAACCGAAGAACTCGGCGGCAAGCACAAACACGACCTCACCCCCGATTGTACCCACCTCATCGTCGGCGAATACGATACGCCCAAGTACCGCCATGTCGCAAAGGAACGTCCCGACGTCAAGGCCATGGCCGCCGGCTGGATTGAAGCCCTCCGGAAGCTCTGGGTCCAAGACGCCGACATCGACTTCATCGCCCTCGAGACGGAATGGGAGCTGAAACCCTTCGAGACCGGCGGCGCCGAACCGAACCTAGTAGATGGCACAATCGAACCCCGACGGAAACTCTTGATCTGCTCGACCGGGTTTATGGAAGCCGAAGAGCGCCAGCACATCATCGACATGGTGGAAAAGGGCGGTGGCATATACACCGGCGACTTGACCCGTCGCGTCACCCACCTCGTCGTCTACAAACCAGAAGGCCGCAAGTACCAGGCTGCTCAGAACTGGGGCATTAGAACTGTTTCAGTCGAGTGGATCAACGATTGCGTCGAGCGTGGTCTGATTCTAGACGAGAAATGCTACGATCCCCTTCTGCCACAGGACGAAAGAGGAGTTGGTGCTTGGAACAGACAAAGCAGCCGCGTTGCCTCCCTGGGCAAGAGACTAAGGGAAAGCGCCGCCGAGGGACAAGAGGCCGGGAGGAGAAAGCTGAGAAAGACTGCTAGTATCAAGCTCAACAGCCAAAGGGATAGTCTGTGGGGGAGCATCCTGGGTGTGCCCCCGGCGGCCACTTCTTCGCCTGCTGCTGCCCCGGCTCCCCTCGCCGGAGCTTCCCAAGCACAACCGCCTCCCTCAGCCCCCGCCCAGCGTCATCCGAGCCAGCAGCCTTCTGGTCCAACACAATCGGTTGACACCCAGGGCTCAAGGCTTTCGTCGTTCGGCATACCCCATGACGACTTCATCTTCGCCTATTGCTGCTTCTACGTAGCCGGCTTCGCACCCAAAGAGACCGAAATCCTCACCAACACCGTCGCTTCCCTAGGCGGCGTTGTCTGCCAAACCCTCGACGAGTGCGCGTCCGCCTCTGGCGCGCAAATGGCTCACCGCTTCCTCGTCGTACCACAGAACTCTCAACCCAACAGCCATCCCCGCCTTCCACCCAACGTCTACATCATCACCGAGTTTTACATTGAACGGTGTCTACACAAAAAATACTTCTTCGACCCCAACGAGCATGTCCTCGGTCGGCCATTTCCCTCGTTTCCCATTCCAGACTTCAATACGCTTTCTGTCTCGACGGCAGGGTTTACGGGTGTGGACCTTAACCATGTGGATAAAGCTATTAGGCAATTGGGTGCTAGGTACGAAGAGAGGTTCACGGCTGATGTGTCTGTTCTGGTAGCACCGTCGGTGTCCGTTATAAGGAAACAGAAACTCGACATGGCGCTACTGTGGAAGGTGCCGATCATTAGGGCAGAATGGTTGTGGATGTGCATCAACACGGGGTTCAAGTGCCCTATTGAGGACTTTCTCTTCCCCGAGCTCAACCAGAAGATCCGTTCCGAGGAATCACCGCCGTCAAAAGGCAGCCAGGTCTCCGGGAAGGAAAAGGCTACGGAGAAACAAACAAAGCCATCCAAGCTAGGGATCGTCGATGAGGATCTACTCTCCAAACCGGCTGCCGCCGCCGCAAGCAAATCACGCAGTCGCGTCGACGCCTCGGACTTTACCTCTGCTATCCGAGAGAAGATGAGATCTTCAGCTTCAGAGTCTAAGAGCACGAAAGCAACGCCAGCGCTGGCAACGGCATTGTACGAGTCCCACGATAGCTACGAGACAGCACCGAGTCAGCGACAAACAAGCACGGCGAATACCACACCTGGAAAGAAGAAGTCGGCAGCAGCTGGCGCACCGCTAACTGACATTTCCAACCTCTCGCAGCCCGCCTCTTCTTCAAAACAAAAACAAAAGCAGCAGCCACCGCGCAAACCACTAAGCAGGATAAGAAGCGAGATAGCAGATTCTGACGCGGAGTCTGCAGCGGACGACGATCTTCCCCTCCCCGGCGAAGACGACTTGCCAGTCGAGGGAGAGCCTGGCAAACGACAACAGTCCAAATCGCCGAGCAAGCTTAGAGCCTTGGAGGAAGAGCCGGTAATAGAAGACCCAGGCGAAACCGGCGAAGAACTCCGCCGCCGCTTGCTCAAAGAAGCAGAGGAGAAGAAAAAGGCCGAGAAGTTGAAAGTCACGGATCGATTAGTCGACTTGCTGCTAGATGCTGGTGGTGATGGTGAGGCCAGCGTGGAAACCGCCGCAGCAACGTCGTTCGCCAGCGCCCTCTCACACTCACTCCGGGGCAGAACCACTTCCATAACGGCGGTAGAGGCAACAGAGGCCAGGGCCGTGACTAGGGCAACAAGAGCACCAAGCGAAGCCGCCTCTGTGCGCTCAGATGATGGATCCGTCACCGCCAAAACCCGTCGACGGAAGCGGGAAATCCTAGGGAGAGCGATGAGCAACGTGTCAGCGGCAAGCGAGGACGGTCTGGCAGCAGATGCTCCCCCTGATGGAGCCGAGCTAGGGCGCCAGGCTCAACAGAAGGAGACCACTCCCCCAGCAGCGCCAGCAACCACCACCGCCACCACTACAACAAAACGCAAAACCCGCTCCAAGAAAGACGATAAGGAAGGACCACCACCGACACAGATAGATTACCAGGACATCGACTCCCGCAAGGCCCGGCAGAAACTGCTCTCCAAGCTCGGCGACGAAGGAGCTACCGACACTGGTACTATTTCTAAGCGAGCGGCGGAGGAACAGAAGACCATGTCGATTGGAGACTTGGATGCGTTTGTTAGGGAAAATGAAGGGCATGGAATTGGAAGCCCGACGGGGCTGGGAAGGACGAGGAATGGGGAGAGGGGGTATGGGGGGAGGAGGACTACGAGGAGGTCGAAGGGGGCCTGAAATGCTGGCTGATGGGAAGGGGAGAACATGCCCTAGTGGGTAGGTGGGTTAGGTCAGCACCTAGGTAAGAGGTGACGGCAGACATGGATGGGAGGTGGAGGGATGGATGGGAGTTTCTTCAGTTGGTTGTGAACATCAAGCATTGGCGGCGTAGGAAGCAAAAGCATGGAAGTTATCGCAGGGCATTTCAGTATAAGTTTTGTTCGATATCTCTACCTTGCGATATTCTTATTGATGAGTTTCAGATCACATGCTCGCAACGTTGTTCTTCCGTGTCAGTCAAGGGTGCTTTATCTCACGAATATCTCCTTGTCTACATGGCGTTATCATCCGTTTTCACATCCGGTCTTTCTACTCGGACGTACACAAGCCTCGGCAGCTCGATGCTCTAGCGGCCGGCCGGTATGAGACGAAGAGATCTACATTTCGGAAGCAAGTCCTCGTTGCCCTGGGTACCTATCTACGGCCTTGTGTTCAAGGCTTCGAGTCCGAGTGGTCTTTGATCTCACTCTCATGTCTCTGTCACCCACACGCTTGACTCACAATGGTCAAGGGCTAGCAAACCTTCGACTTCAGCTCGACTTGTGATCCCTTATTCAACCCAATCGTCTTTTAGTTGTTGGTAAATGTTACCTATTCTACGCGCACATGGAGCCTGGGTGGGTGTCCGGGTCAAGTCCCTGCCGACCACATACACCGATTAGATATCTGGGCTCGTGCAAAACCAATTCAATTCCAGTTCCCTTCATGCCATCGGATCTTATTAACACCGATCAATGCCTTTGGTCCGGTCCCGTTTTGCACAGGCTAGCAATGCGGACTAGAGGTACTCCTGCTCCCCAGGGTGTAGTTGGTGTAAACCCTGGTGCTCTCTCTTTAGCCCCCCCCCCCCCAGTGCAACCGGCGCGTTGCGCCGGAAGCCCTACCTTTCGTAAAGTTTGATGCCGTCCTTGATGTCTCGGTCGCCTCCTTGCTTTGATACCTTGGATTGTGCGCGAAGCACGCGAGGCCTACCTGGCACAAACACTGCAGAAAGAACCGGGCAGATAAGAGCTGTAGAGGTACCTTACCTCTACACTTTCAGTAGTGTTCATCATCGTCCATAAGGTACAGCTGTGCTTTTTAGAGATTGTTCAGGATTCTGGGTAGATAGGTACCTAACTTCCATTCTTTTGTTTTGGTTATTTTGTCCGCAAGGGTTAAGGTAGGTAGAGGTAGTGTATGTACTTGTATGATAAATGAAAGCAGCAGATATGTGGGATAAGGCAAAGATCAGTCACGAGAGTTATTTAAACCATGCGGATGCCGTAAGAATGCCGTGTCACGTTTGGTTTGGTGTTTCCCACAGACTTCGAAGCGTTCTGTGAGGCGTTACTAGGGCTTACTTGGGTTTTACATGGGCTCACAAAGCCGTCTTACTCGCAGCAGAGCCTCAAGACTGCTCGTTTGTGAGTGGCTTATGGGACCCAGATGGGGCCCAGACACAAGTCGTGACGTGGAGGACGGCGTAAAGTCTGGGATCGGGTAGTGTCTGATGTGGTGATGGGATGACACGGCAGCTACCTTGATGGCTGGGCTCGTTGTCTTGGCCCTCTTCGGGCTTGGTCATCCTTACTCCGAAGTGAAGAGAAGGTGCAAAACGGTTTCCTTGCGGTTGAAGTACTTGTTGAGATCAACGCATCGAGACACAAAGACATGAGGATTTTGAAGGTTGAGGGCAAACAGGACAAGGCTTGATCACGGTGAGAGAGTCTGATATGTTCAAAAGGGGCCACAAAACACGAGTAAGGCTCCATATTACCCATTACGTACGTGCTGATGGCCGTATAGGTGAGTTATCAATGAATGACTAACACTCGGACGTGAGAAGGTCAGTTATCACCAAACCGTGAGTGATCTTACAAGGTCAAGTTGATTGACGGCTCTTCGGTCTTTGACCCCATCGCTATGTCACAGATCGATCATATGTCTTCAATCCGTAGCAAACAACTCCACTCGCCCGCGGACTTGGTCATCTCGCCCTCGGTGTCCAGACCCGTCCTAGTCTCCAACCAGACTCGGAGAATTTCCTCTTACATATGCTACAGAAGGGGGGTACACCCGCCTGTAGTGCAATGTGTAGTACGACTAGATTTAAAGTAGAAAACCGTCCTTCAAGTGGCTTTAACCGCGCGTGCTTCACGCCGTGGAAGCACGCGCTGTGTAGTTTGTGTTCGACGTATGTCGATGGCCGGTGGTACTTTTGCGCGATCGTCACTACCGATATCACTACAACTGTCGATAAGAGCCGCTCGCGGGATGTAGGTAAACGCAAGGTAAGTGAAGCTGAAGGAGGAGGTCTGGTATTGACCCGGAGAATAATTCCGACTGCGGCAGTTTCTAGGTAGCTTCTGGTGAGTGGTTGTTGTTTGCCGGGCCGAGAAACAAGGCAACCACCAGACCAAATGACCCAATCCAGTGGAACTGTTTGCTCGCTGATCTTGCAAAGATGAGGCTTCACTGCTTCAAATGAAATATGCCGTGTCTAGGACTCTGTGGACAGAAGATGAGTAATCCAGCAAGTGATCCCGACTCGACCCCGAGTGTTTGCTGTGAAAGGTGATTGTAACGTGATGTTGTTTCCATCAAGTGTCGTAAGTGCGTTCAAACGGAACCATTGAAGATCGAGTCTCTGATAGAAACGTGGCTGGAACAACGTGACTGGGAGAGGTAAGGCTGACGGCTCGCAAAAAGCATACCTGGAGCTTTACCGTTGGATCCAAAACGAACAAGTGTCTTTCCATTTGCTCGGTGTTTCAAAACGGAACCGGATCTACTATCATGGTAAGCAGTGCGGCCCGGAGGTATAGCGACCAATGACCTCTCCGTTGGAACGCCAGATGGGAAACGCGGCAACGGTCAAAGTGCAGGACGTGAAGCCAAGAGGGCCAAGAAGGTTACACACTTGTGTACCACCACACCAGAGGTTAAAGTTGCCTTTTTCTCCCCCGTGCTCGCCCGTGCTCCCGCTCCAGCTCTCGACTTGATACTGTGTAAGTGCCAAGTGAGGTTTGCCTGCGTTCTCGGCGCTAAGCACAATTCCGCACCGTCTGTCTGCATTCAGTATGCAAGATGCAAGTCATTTTGCTTCGGTTGGTGATGGCCCCTGGGCCCGGGGATAACGCCTTCGGTTGAGGCTTCGAGTGGAGCTATTCCCATTACAGCCATCGGTGACTCCCAAAGAGTGAGTGGAGCGAGTGGATGGAATGGAAGGGATGAAGAAGCTTCGTTCACAGCCTCGTGAAGATCTGGGGAACGGAAGACGTTGTGACCTGCACAGCCCGACAAAACAGAACAGTAGCGCCGGTGATGCCGGGTGCCGAAGCGGTGCCGGATTGAAGTCTTCAGCCCTTTGACATTTAATACGGTCGAAAGATGACTCACCAGACATGAAGAGGCCAAAACAGTTCCGAAAAGACCAAACATGAACGATATGCGCTTCTCATTAACAGCGCTAAAGCCCAAAGACCCCTCCCATTCCCCTACCGTGGTAAATGTCTCCTCACCTCTGATTGGCCAACCCCGCCCCTCACACCTCGTTTAGGAAACGACGTCACCGTCGGGCTTCTTGGCCAAGCCATCGAAACACTCCCCTCGGATGTTGCAGATCTTCTTCCATTCCAAGACCCGGAGCGGCTGCATTCCCAACGCCCAACGGGCTCAGATGAAGCAGGAACGGTCGACCGTCTGTGCTGTTGTCAATCGCTCCTAACGTGGTTGAACACGAAAAACATGTTTGTGATACTCGAGTTGTCTACATACCCGATGAGGCGAACCCTTCGCAGACATCTCGGTCGAGGGACATCCATGGCGACCGAGACCCTTTTGTAAAATATCTCTCTCTCTGTGACCACCATCAGAGATCAGAAAAATGACATATCCCCTCCCTGGCCATCCCCTTCCGGCCTCCCCTCTCAGGATTGCAGACGCCATGCCAGCTATGCCAGCCCTCGCGACAGTCCTCGATTGCTGATTCGCTTTGGCTGCTACCCTCCATCACGGTGACCATCCAGTGGGATCGATTCCCACTCTGCACCTTCTCAACACCTTCGTCATTGGTTAACGCGGGACAAGACTTTCTGATTCCCAACCTGAGGAACCTGAGCGCCAGACCTGACAAGCTCTTTTCTCTCTCACCTTCCCCCCAAGCTCCTTTCCTCTATCCACTTCCCCCCAAGCTCCTTTGACCTGCCATTTTCACGCATCTTACCCTGACTTCTTCAACCATCGCGGAGTCTCCGGCGCTACCAAGGCTGGTTACGAAAGAGAAGCTTGGCCTGCTTACACCCTTGTTCGAAGATCAACACTGCCCAGTTTGGTCATTGGTCAAGGGTCCAAATTTTTTTCTTCTCCGTTCGGTCCTTGGCACAACACCTCTCTGATTACATACCTTAGCTGGAGGCGATTACCAAACACTTGTCTAGACCTTTCCCCGGACATCTTCCTCTCAACTTTCTCTGGATTTCGTCATCTGGAGAATTTTTGCCAAAACACCATCGAATCGCTGTTACACAACCACTACTCGTCAGGACTCATTAGCACGAGAGAGCTAACCCACATATCCACTGATTGTCCCCACGTGGGACCTTCATCATAACCTAACCCTCTGGCCGTTCACGTTCTCGATTGATCCCGATGACGGTTCCCTCAGGCGATTACTCAAACCCCAGTGTCGAGTCCGTCCACGCTTACGCTCGTCAGTTGCTTCGCGATGTCAAACGAGTCAATAATGAGGCCGACGCGCCCCTCAAGTGGATGGAGGAGGACCTCAAAGGCCTGCACCAAGTCTTGAAGTACCTGCATGTTGAATCCCAAGATCAGGACTCGGTCCTCAAAGACACTTCCCGCGATAACATCTACGCCAAAAGATTAGCGTCCGCCGTCGAAGACAGCGATGAGGCCCTGCGCGAAGTTGACGATATCCTTCACCAATATGGCGACGGACGTGATGGGGTAATCGACCGCCTGCAGTTAAGGCTGAACCTCCTGGATCTGGAATCTCCGACTCGCAAGATCTCGAAGCTTCTCGATGCGGTGCAGGTTCATAACCCTGAGAATGCCCAGGAGGTGTTGGATCATACCGATGGCAAGCAGCTGGAGATGATCAAGGATAAGCTGGAACGGGTTGCGACGAGGATGTTCCAAAACCGAGCGTCTCCTACCACCGAAATGAGGGAGGATACGTGGCAGACCTTCAAGGAGGAGCTTGAGAAGGAGGGGTTTTCGCCCGAGATCTTGAGGAAGAATAAGGTTAGTGGTACCTGTTGTGAATTGGCCCTCTGAAACAGCATGATCTAACAATGGATAACAGGAGGTCTTACGAGCGTATATCCGCGAACTCGAGGCCAACCAGTCCCCCCACTCCGGTTCACCGCCGTCCGTTCGTGGTCTGCTCGACTACCATCCCTCGTCCAACGGTCAACAAGATAGTCCAAGGTTTCCGGACTATGACCCCAATGTACCACAAGCCTTGCAGCCGTACCACCACCACAGGACCCCTGGTCTCAACAGTCAATACAGTTACGATGTTCAGACACCAGACGCTTCAGACTCCGATTCCAACAATGGGTCCCAAGCAGGTGCCTTGATCTCAACCCGCGACCTCATGGATCTCGACAACCATAACCCCGACATTCTCGCCGCCCGCATGGGTTCCATGCACCTGGCCCCCTATCCCACAGGAAATAACCACTACGCCTCTCCCGGTACCTCGCCCAGCAAAGGACATTACCTCACATCCGGCCCTCAACCGCTCGCCATCCCCGGCTCCAAGTCCCAGTCCAGCAACGGCATGCTTTCCGCCTCTTCCTCCGCCCAGTACGGCACATCCCCTCGCTACGTCCCACCCCTGGCTATGCCGCCCTACCCAGATGCACCTCCTTCCCAAGGGCCACCAACCACCGCAGCATCGTTCATGTCACCTCCCGCTCCCTATACCGACAGCCCGTCCCTCATGCATGGCGGCAGCAGCTTTCCAGCCATTTCTTCTTCTTCTTCTGCACCCCCAGTAGGGAATGACATACTCAACCACAAGCCCACACCTCGGCAGTACACCCGTCTAGCACCCGATGGTAAAGGCAAAGAGATTCCAATAGACGCGAAATGGACCCGCATCAAGCGCAAGCTGGTGTCTCCCGAAGTGCTCGAAAGAGCCGGCGTGCGCTACGAAGCTCGTCCGGATTTTGTTGCTGTCCTGGGAGAGCTGACAAAGGAAGACATCCTCGAGTTTGCCAGACAAACGACCGAAGTCAGGAACGCGAGGAGGTATGCTGCTGCTGCTGCTCAGGGGAGACACAGCACCTGGCCCACACCCGACACAACCAGTGACGGCACAGGCCGCCGCCGACGCAGAGCAGCGACCCGGCACTCGGACAGCAGCGGCGAGTCCTCGGACACTGATGACGTGAGCGATGGTGCATCCGACGCTGCTTCCAGGCGAAGAAGGAGACACCGTCGGCGGGCGAGTGATGCATCAACCCATGCCTCTACCAATCACGATGATGCCCAGAGGGCTGGTGGTCAACCGGTGATTGTGTCGCCGCCGGCAAGTGTGAATGGAGATGACTCGAAGAGTAGTAGTATCACAAGTCCTAGCAGTACTACCACAGCCCCGAAACCGATTCTCAAGAACAAGAACACGAACCACGTCCGGTTTGGGAGGGATGGTCCGAAGGAAATTAGCCCCGGGGAGTATGCTGAGCGGAAGAGACGGGAGGAGGAGCGCGAAAACAGACGCAGAAATAGGGATCCAAGCCGGGACGACCGAGGCGATCGCGATCGGGACCGTGACCGTGACCGTGACCGCAGCAGGCATCGTGATGATAAAGACAGGGACAGGGACAGGGACAGGGACCGTGATCGGGATCGCGACCGGGATCGGAGTCGTAGCCGTGTACGCCCACGAGACTTGGTTGCGGCGGATCTTGGAAGAGACCGGGATAATAGGGACCGCGACCCTTCTCGCTCGAGGAGAGATCGGGACAGGGATAGGGGGGATAGGGACAGGGACCGCGACAACAGGGAGCGCGACCGTGACCGCGATACTAGAGACAGAGACCGGGACAGGGAGAGGGAAAAGGATCGCGACAGAGACACCAGGGACCTGCGCGAACGTGATAGAGGAGATAGGGACCGCGACAGGGACAGATACCGAGATGGCGGCGAAAGGGACCGTGACAGGGAAAGGGACCGCGATCGCCACCGCTCCTCCCGCCACCATGACCGGGACCGTGATCGCGACCGGGATAGGGAACGGGAACGGGAACGGGAACGGGAACGGGAACGCAGAGAACGGAGCGAGAAGTCGAGCAAGAGCGCACTCATCGGAGGCGCGGCGGTTACGCTGCTGAGTATCCTGACGGAGGCTAGTCAGCATTTGTGATGAGGTTTTCTTTGAGTTGGGATACGAAACATCTGTTTGGACATGATGGATATACCACGGTTTCCTTGTAGTGATGACGACCATGTATAGAGCGTAATGTGGAAGAGAAAATGAATGATGACATGACTGGATGAATGATATAACGACCGAAGAATAATGGCTTATGAATGAGTTGATGTCCCGGTTGGTTCATATCTGTTGTGTTTATACCCAGGGCAGTGTGAGGCATGGTATCGGGATGTTGGATGGGTTGGAGAAGGAAGAATCCAAGAGGCCATGTCGGGTCTGGGAAACCTGCTCCTGCTTTGGGGTGTGATCTTCACTTCCTTCGAGCACAGTGTAGAATACCGAAAAGTTGAAGCCGATAAGATTCAAGATGTTCACTATTTAGGAGCTAGTAGTAATAATGAGTTTGCACGCAGTTGATACGCTGCCATATACATCATCGCATCTCTTCCTGGTATGCTATGTTGCGTGCCTACTCTGAGCACCCTCCATCACCGATTCGGCTTCAACCGCTTATTACGACGTCGACGTCCCCTTTCCTACTGAGTCATCGAAACGTCTCCATCACCGTCAGCCGCAACCGTAACCGCAACCGCAGCCTCACCCGCTAACTCATCCACTCCCTGCCTCCCATCTCCTACTCCTGCCAATGGCCCCGCTAGCTCATCAGGTTGATCAGCCTCGTCAACCTCCACGACCTTCGCCAAATTCTTCCTTGGCCTTCCTCTCTTCGGCCGAGCTTTCAGCACAACGTCCGATTGCACGGGGGCAACGTCCGACACAACCTGCTGAGCGTCCCAAGGAACAGACACCTCCGACGCGCCAGAAACGCTACCAGCTGTCTTCATCTCCTCCTCCCCTTCAGCAACAGGGTTCCCAGCAGAGTGTTGGAGGTCAGCCAAGTGTTGGAGGGTAAGATCAGCCCAGCCCCTCCCGCCCGTCTTCTCAACAAGGAACGGATTCAATTCCCCTCTGAACCACCTCTCCTTCCTCTTCACACTCCTCTCTCCGCCCTCCAGCGCTAATAGTGCAGCTCTGGTTGTGCGCATCCTTTTCGTTCCCCCCGTACTATTTGTCCCCGGTCCCACCGCATTTTGCCCCGTGCCTCCTCCGTCCGCGCTATTCGTGCCACCCTCGCTCACACTAAGCAGACTACTCATCTTCAACCTCCTCCGCTGCAAACTCGATTCGTAAGCGACTATGCTCCGCACGTAGGGGGCGACGTCCAACGTGATGAGGCTCATGGTGCGGTCGAAGACGGAGGGGTCCAAGGAGGATGTTGTGGCTGCGGAGGAGTCTGAAGAGGCGATAGGGTCGAAGGCGAAGGCAAGGTCGATTCTGTTGATAGCTGGTTGCTCGGGAGAAGAGAGGGATAGGGTGGTGAAGGATTTGGTGATTAGGCTGAGGGCAGAGAATTCGTTTAGTGGCTGGAGGGTATCGGTGGGTGTAGGCTGTTGGGTAAGGGACGAGGTCCGCGACCGTAAAACGGAGCGAGAGAGAGATTTGATGGTTGCTGGAATACTCGTAGTAAGGGAATCGTGAAGAGTAAGCAGGGGAGCGTCGAGCGGTGTTAGACCGAGGACGCCGTCGTCGCGGGCTTTAGCTGGGGGCTCGGGGAGTGTGGCGTCTAGTGGCACCTGTAATATCACTGTTAGCGAATGCAAATGGGCGGGAGTGAGGTTATCTTACCTCGTTAAGTGTCCCAAACGACCAAGAAGAGCAGAGATCCGCCGCGCTGAGGGCATCAGCCAGTTCCTCAAACGCCTCAAGAGCCTCAAGCCTTCCAGCCCCATCGGATGGCATCCCCTCCGCCAATGACTCCAACCCAACAGAGTCTTGCCAGCTCCCCATATCAAGACCCCACGAATCCCAAGCCTGCTCTAGTAACTCTTCCTCGACCTGACGTCCGCCGGCAGCCTTCCCGACCACGGTGTCTCGCCCGAGCCAGTTCATCCCCGTGAGATACGTGCTCTGACTGACAACCCTCACCACATGCCCGTTCTCATCAAGATCACAACCCCTCGGCCACCTCGGATAATACCAATCAAACCCTCCCTTCCTGTCCCCGACACCAATCTGGCACCAGTACTGCAGATCCGTGGTGGCGGCGCGGAGGTCATGGCCGCGGGACTCAAACAGAGATGCGACGGCCTGCCGTGTGAGAGCGTGGCCTTCGTTAGCTGCTACAAGCAATAGGCGATCAACTGCCAGCTCTGTGGGTGGTGGGCTTAGCCGGAAGATGCCGTGTAGTTTGAGGGTGTGAAGAGGGAGCAAAGTCTCGTCGTTGCATGTCATGATGAAGGGTCGTTTGGCTTGCGCTATAAGGGTGACAATGGTGGTCCAGAATTGCTTGTCTTCTTCGTACAGGATGTCCACTTCTTCCAGGAGAATAAGGGATTGCCTTTGGGCCTTTCCGCTGTCTTTCTTGACCTCTTTTGGTTCGCTGGTGGGTGGTGGCTTAGTGGACTGCTTTGGTGTAACTGCAGTGGTCTTTGGCCGGAAAAAGGCATTCATAGTTGCCTGCTTTCCGGATTTGACTTCCTCTGCAGTAGCATCTTCTTGATCATCGCCAGCTTTGTCGGAGGGGGATTGGTGCTGCTGGACGAGATGATTCCTGGTCATGTCGCCGATCTTTTCAAGCACATCCTTGCCGCTCCTTCGGCTGCTCGAGTTGATCTCGAAGACTTCAAAGTCTAGTTCCTTGGCCACTGCGTAAACGGCAGCTGTTTTACCGCAGCCATGAGGGCCGCTGATAACAAGTGTGTTGGCGATTTTGGAGGCGTCCTTTTTGGACAGGTCTCCGGATTTGACGACGGTTTTCCTTGTGATTCCCCGAAAACCACTGGGGGCCCAGTCGGCTCCGTCGTCCGAGTCTTCGTCTAGCTCGAACTCGTCGTCGCTAGAGACAATAAACTCGTCGAGCTTCTTTCGCCTCTTTTTCCTACCAGGGCCAACAGCCTTACCTTTTTTCGGTTTGTCGGAGTCGTTCGAGCCGGTCTCTACTGATTGCACCTTCAATGCATGGAGCCAGTCTCGCAAAAGGAAGGCTTCGCTGCCGGGCTGCAGGACCTCGGTGGTGTTGATAGGGCCGTACTTTTGTGTCCAGTTGCTGGTTTCGCACTGGCACTGGTCAAAAGCTGATAGGGAGAAGGATACAGAGTCGTATAGGCGGGCAAGTTGAGGGGGGGCTGTCAGTTGACCAGATGTTTTCGTCGTCCTGAAGGTCTTGAGTTCAGGCAGAATGCGCTGCTGTAGTTTTCTCCCGCTCTCAAAGTGCTTAGTGGGAAGTCGAAGCTCGGGAGGTGCAGGTATGAAATCGTTCGTATTGAAGTCGCGAAGGGCTTGTTTTACAGACTCAATTCCGATTGAGGTGCTAACCAGATTCACAATCGATTCTTCCCGGTCCACCTTGACCGATTGACCCTTGGACTTGCGAGATGGCAAAGGCAGCTGGATGTCTTGGTGCATTGGCACATCATCGTCTCCGCGCACATGTACCATATCCTTCCAAGGCCATGCTGGGGGTTTTGCGCCGGGGAACTTTAGGGGCACGTTCTTGTTGAAGCCGAACTGGGGCATTCGTCCAGTGAAAGCAGAAGCACGAGGTTTCTTGGGCGAACATGGTGTAGACATGAAGACTTTCTGCGAGGGTTCGCTAGGCTTGTCGTTCTTGGGTTCGGCAGCAGGGGGCGCAGCTGCGGGTCCCTTGGTCTTCCCCGAGAAGAAGGGATGTGTAGATTTGGAGTTGCCGGGCTTGGACGCTGGAGGTTTCTTGTTTCGCTGGTTGGTCCTTTGCGGTTGTTTTGGAGTCTTGAGGATGGCCTCGATCTTCTCGCCAACTCTTGTGCGTGCCTCCTCATCCGACTCGGAACTATACTTAATAGTCACGACCCTTGACTCTGGCTTCTTTGCGCGTGATGGTTGTACCCTCCTCTTCATTGTTGGAGCTGTCTCTTCGATTGGCTCTGGCTGCTTCGGTTTCGGAGGTGACCCAATTGTTCCTGTTTTGGGATTGAATCGGAGAAGTTTCGTCGGCTTCTGGGGCTCAACATTGGCGGCAGGAGGGATGACTGCAGGCGGGGGTGATGATCGGATATTAACGTCGACCAGATTCCGTATAATGCCACTAACATCATGTGCCGGAGCCGGTATGTTATCCTCAACACGGACATGTCCATCTATCCTTGTTGTGGCTTGTTGCGGCAGCTCTGCCCGTTGTTGTGGGAGCCCTGCCTCTTGCTGTGTTGGCTCTGCCTCTTGTTGCGTGGTTGTGATATCCTCTTCTTCTCGTCCAGCATCGTCGTCCTTTGTCTTTCCCAATCTGATAAAATGGTTTGCGATACCGGGGCCGACATTGGGTTTTGTTCGTTTCCTCGTCTTTGGTTTCTTGTAGTCTTCGTCGTCTTCCAGCTCCGGAGACACCTTGCGTCGCTTGGTCCGTCTCCCAGCTGCCTTCTCCAGAGTATCATCTTCAACTTTCGGCTCAACGGGTCCATCGATGGACATTAGGGAATCCTCGGTCGCGTCTGGTTGATCGGGAACGGTGGGGTTTTCTGTCGAAGCTGTAGGAGCAGGCTGTCGGTTCGGAGTAAAGAAGGGATGCAATGGCTTGCGAGCCGCCTCTGGAGAGTTGCCATTGTCGACCATGGCGAGGACAGCGACTGGTGTCATGGAGTAGTATGGGAGACCTGTAGATGTTTCGGTCAATTCCTGTAGCCAGTTTGCAATAGACATGTAATTGTCAGGAAAAGGAATAGGGAGGGAGACATACTCGGAGAAGAGAAAAGACAGAAGACGATTTTCAGGCACAGATCATGCTTATAAGTGGTGGCAGCAAAGGTTGACTCTGATGTTATTGAAGAAGGCGCTGCAATGTCGGGTTCAGGCGTAAAAGGTGCATCAGGCTGTGCATTGGCTGCGATGTTGAAAGTCGCATGCTCCAGGTTGCCAGGGCCATTTTAGTGACGGATGTTCAGGGTGACCGCGTTCTGGCACTTTAGCACGCGTCTTGCACTGGAGCGGGAGCTCTGGAGGCCCTTGCCGGCCGCAGGGTCCAGCATCGATGAGCGATCAAGTCGTGTCGCACTCGCGCCCGGGCGCCCTTCCCTGCCTGCCCCACTTGACGAGATGCTCACCGTGAGTTTGGCTCCAAGACCGGCCTTATCGCTTGGTCTTATCAAAGCTCACCTTGGACTCACCGTGCGGATGCTCCAAAGAAACGCCCCACTTCACGTCCACGGTAGACGCCCCACTTATTTTTTCAATGTCTTGGCATAACTTTTTTTCAGATCGCAGTCTTTTGGACGAGTCGCAGTCCCGCGCAGAGACCTGATCAGAGCTTCGGTTTCGAGATTGGGGACCGGCGATGCCAACGGAAAACAGTAAACATCAACCTCCAACATCCCGATACTTTACGATACCCCATCTGTCTGCATTACTGTTTGTCCCTTGAAGCGCATGCTATATACCACAACACTATGGCGACCACCCTCCAAATACACAAGCCGTACGTGCTGAAGGCGCTGTCGCATCCTCTCGACCGTCCCGACGGACCAGGAAAACACACTGTCGGCGAGGTCTATGGCCAGGTATCAGGGCCCGGATCCAAGAAGAGGAAACGCTCCGAGCTTGCCGTTGCCATTGACGGTGACTCGGTTCATCTCTACGATGTCAGTCGACTCCCCAGTCTTCTACTAGGGTTGGTGTCGCCAACTAACTCTTGTCCAGATCCCCTCGGCGCAAGCCATCACATCCTACCTCGTCCCTCCCCAGGCCTACTTCACCTGCGCCCCTTACTCGCTGCGATGGAGATCCTCTACTTCCAAGACTGCCTCTCGCTACACCTATGCCTCGACACAAGATTCCCTCTCGGCCAAGAAGGAGATCAAGCTCTTCAAGGATATTGTTGCCGAAGCCGGAAACACCACCTCGACAACTGCTACCCACGTCCACCGTTGCGCTAAGCCCATCGTCCACATTTCTGCTACCTCAGTACGGAGCTCCAGAGACACCTTGACCAACCAAGATACACCCGCCCACGACGTCATCGCCGTGTCCGCCGACGGCACTCTCATCAGCCTCGCCGGCGAGACCCTTACCGAGAAGTGGCAGTCGTCGCCATCCATCCTCACCCAGGAGCTGCCTTCCAACACTGGCTGCCATGTCGACTTTGTCCAGCCTGCCCTCGCGGCCGATGTTATCGATGGCATGTTCGGTGGAAAGAATGAGCTGTTCGGCGTCTTCCAGGAAAAGATTCACCGTCAAGGTTTCAACCCCGACATTCTCGTGCTCGTCACGTCGCCAGAAAAGTCCGAGTCTACACGCCAGAGATACTTGCACATTCTTGCCCTACCGACCGAGAGGGCCTCTCAACAAGTAAACCAGCAGAATGTCATTCCCATCTTCGCCGCCCCTCTCCCAACCAAGACTGGTGCCGCCAAGTTCCAGCTCGATGTTAGGTCGGGCACTTTGCAGGAGCTGTCCGAGGGCGTCCTTCACACATATGCTTTCAACGGCGGCATTCCCCGTCTCGAGAACAAGCTGGAGGTTCCTGAAATGGCCTCTTTCTTGCGCCTGTCCAAGACCTCGGTCCTTGCCGCTACCGCCGACTCCCTTACCGTCTACAACCCCGTCTACCGCTCGCTCCAGGCTACTGCTCCCCTTGGAGTCGGGATGGGTGTCTCGTGCGAGCTCGTCACCTACCTTGCTAGCCGCGAGATCGCAGTTGGCCTATGCGGAACCTCTTTGATTGCCGTCCAGATTGAAGCCCCCAAGACCCGCACCAGCAAGCGCCGCGCTGAAGGCCTCCTCGCCGATTCGATCCGCCGTGGCCTCCCTAGAGCTCAGCCTGCTCAGAAGCGCGGCCATGTCGAGCTTCCTCCTTCGGCTATCCTTGCCGAGGCCCTCCCTGGCACCATGACCGAGGAGTACCTTGCCCAATTGGCGGCCGATACTGCCAAGGCGGACGAGTACCTCAACGCCAACAACCTGAACGATTTCGAGGAGCTGCTGGCGGCCCAGTTCAAGATCCAGCTGAAGGCTAAGAAGGAGAAGAAGGACAAGAAGGACAAGAAGGACAAGAAGGTCAACGGTGCTACCGAAGACAAGACCGCGACCTCGGACCTCCCCGAGTGGTCCTGGCCCTCCAAGCGCTCTGACTACCCCCAGATTGACCGGCGCTGGGTCTTCTACGCCATCAGCCGCGTCTTCTCTTGGGCCAGCTCCAGCGAAAACCCCAAGGCCACCCACCTTTCGTGCCGCCTTCCCGAGAGCAGCGTGCTCAATTACCTCGTTGACGCCGGCCACCTTACCATCTCCAATATTAAGTCCGCCTTCAAGGAAGAGATCCGCGAACTCGGTGATCAAGTCGACAACGTCATCGGCGAGGAGCTTCCGGCTGTCCTCGTTGAAGTCGACCCAGCAATGGAGCTCCTGGTCGTCTATCTCTCCTCCACCCAGACCTCCCCCTCCGAGCTCGTAACATCCATCAAGCTCATCCTCAGCAGCCTTGACCTGCTCAACAGCGCCAGCGCTCCCAAGCTGCAAGAGCTTGTCCTCCGCCCCTCTCCCAACGCCACCACCACCTCCTCCGAGGCCGACAAGCCCCAGCAGGACACCGAGATGACCGACGACGACGCGGCCATCACCAAGCAACTCGACCAAGCCGAGCAAGAACTCCAGCTAACCGAGTACCTTGCCACCACCTCCTCCCGCTATCCCCTCCGTGCGCGCGGCCTCTCCGCCGCCTTCTCCAAGCTTTCTGCCTGCCCTTCTCTCCCCACCGTCCAGACCCTCCGCCGTCTGCTGACAACAGAGGAGATCGTCTGCCTCATGAACGTCCTCCGCAACGAGATGATCAAGGACGGCTGGACCACCAGCTACGTGGCCGACGAATCACCCGAAGAAGAGCAGGAAGCGCCGCCCGATGGCTCCATCAAGCTCATTGCCGATTTGCTGAGCAGGTGCATCGACGCGGTCGGCCTAGGCGGCTGGATGGGCTTCGACGCCGTCTTGGCCTCCTGGGGCAGCCAGCAAGACGCGGCCGAGTTCTTTGGCCACTTCCAGAACGAGGTCAGCGTGGCGCTGGAAGGACTCAACGAAACCGTCAGGCTCCAGGGCATGATTGGTGAAGCTACCAACTACGCCAAGAGGGCGAATACTTCGCTCACTGCCTTTGCTAAGCCCAAGGCTGAGGGCGAGGGTACCGCGGTCGTGCAGCTGTCGGCGGGCCCTCTCCCGCTGGGTCTCAAGACGGAGGAGAAGATCGGCTTGGAGAGGGTGCGTGGCGGTGGAGAAATTGTGCAGAGGAGTATGAGACAGATCGGTATGTTTGTGAGCAAGAAGAGGAGGGGGTATGAGGTGCACAGGATTTCGGAGGAGGGGTTGCTTAGCAAGGGGAGTGGACGGCCTAGCTTGGTTGTTCAGGAGGCTCTTTGATGAGTCTGGGGAGAAGGAAGAAATGTTGAAAAGTATCGATACAATAGATGTTGTTTGTGATAATAGGATGGGTTGTCTGTGTAAGAAGAGCGTGTGTCCCAGATCTGGATATGGTGAGCACGGGACTGGGTAGGTAGGTTTAGGGTGTAACATGTAAAGCAGCCCGGAAAAGGGGGAATGTCCAGAGGAAAGTAAAAGGGAATGTCCAGAGGAAAGTAAAAGGGAAGTCAATGCGATACCCGATTGGAAGGGGAAAAGGATATAGCACAAGTATAGATGTAGATTAACTGACAACTGGAATGGGCTTTTGTTCAATCGTCCGTCCTCCCTTTCGAACCGTGACATAGAAGACGACATGGCCTTAGCCGGCAACTAGCTGTCCTACCAGCCCCCTTCCTCTCCCAGGCCCTCAAAGACTTGGAGCTGTTGAGCGAAAGCCCGTTGCCTTTAACGAAGGGGTCAGGGTGCCGCGGCAGCTGGAGGATTAATGACCGGGAGCAATGAAGGAAGGTGTCAATGGACCATCTATTCTGTCCTGATCCAGCATGAAGATTCCGCATTGTCTTATCCACATTGTTTTCCCTGGAGAATGACTTCAAGTTCCGGGACCTACGCTACCTCACTTACCTAGAGGTACTGTAGCCGGGCTTCGTATAATGGTCGAGTAGTGTTGTCTCCGGCGGCGGAGGGTGAAACCTGGCGGGAGCTGAGTGGGGTGTGGAATAGTAATCCAACCGGACCCGGAACCGGCACGCACGGGGTACAACAGTATGTACGGGCTCGGAGACCTGAGTCGGAGGTGGGTCGGTGTCCTTGGCAAAAGTGGGACGGACCGAGAGACAAAAAGACAAAAAGACAAAAAGGCAACAAAGAGAAAAAAAAAAAAAAAAAAAACATACAACACCTGGGATTCGCTGGTCGTCACCGACCCAACTACTAGTCAGGCCCTCACTGGCTTATCTATGGGAGAGCGGACGGGATCCCGAGTTTTCCAGTGGGTATGGTCGTATGTGATTGTTAGGGAGGTGAATTGGGTTTATGTTGGAGGTTTGAGGGGTGAAGAGCCGGATAGCAATGAGATGGGATGGATGGATGGAATGTCATCCGATTTCCTGTGAGAACTTCCACTTCCGTCCAGTCTCATCCCCATGTGCCCTGACTGATTATCGTCGTCGTAGGTACAAACATGGTCAATCTGAACAGACGAGATGGAAAAATCTTGTCTGCGGCGTTTGAGTTTCGTATCTCAACTGCATGCACTTACTTGGGCGGCAGTTGAAGTCTTGAATGCTGTGTTCACTCCAAGCTGCTGCCATAACTTGAGTTCAGTTCAAGGTGACGATCTGTTTCTCTAGGTACCCTACCAAAAAAAGAAAATGTGCATTTGTCACGATACAACCATCATGCATCGGCTAATCCTGCTATAAAAAGAAATACCCTAACACCACGCGCATGCACGAGTTCATGAATTGCTAAGAATTGTTGATATCAAGGGCCAACGCGAAGACATCTGATAACGTCAGGAAATCCAAAAGTCACCAAAAAGTGTTGAGGATTTTCCTGCAGCGAGTTGGGAGGTTGCACTTGAGTTGGCTGACCCACTTGGGATTGTTGCCGTGCTGCTGTGGTTGCAGTTGCACGTTGCATGTGAAGATTCGGGCATTCCTGTTCTGCTCGTACCGCTTGAGAAATCTCCTTCTCGAATGTCTCACAGTCACAAGCCGTAAAAAGGAGGAGGCGAGAAGCAGGAAATAGGAGAGCCGACAAGGTCTTTTCTCAAAAGATCTGCTTGTGAAACCGGTGGGCCTGCTCCAGATGCCTGCCCCCCTCGACGGGAGTTGCCTGCCCGCTGCCCCAAGTCGAGGACCCTTTTCTTACAGGTAGCAATTAGCATTGACCTCGTCCAAGCTGACCAATGGGAAATGTCACATTGCAAGTAGAAACAACGCTAGGACCCTTTGTGCATGAGCTAGGCAGGGGCTGCCAGTTCCTATTGGTTCAGATTGGGCGGTGAAGGTTTTTTGGAAAGCACTGGATTTGGAAACCGAGTTTTTGCAGTGTTCTTGTTTTGGAATTGATGGTCGCCGACTTTAAGCTGAGGCCTGAGACAAGCTGAAAGTAAAGGTTCAACGGCGGTGCAGAATATCCGGGGAAGCTGAAATAAAGTGCAAAGAATTGGAGCTTGTGGGACAAAAAGACTGGGAACATCAAGTGGAAGAAAGGAAGGGAAAGGGCAGATGACAGTTGGTCGGGTAGGTGCCTTCTTTATCCTATGACTCTCTCCCTCTAACATGAACAACGAATGCAAGGTTCACCAACCCTCCCCTAAGGTATCATTCCCCGCCAGTTGTCGACCAACTCTCGCCTCGTAACCGACCCCTCAATCCTCACCGCAGTGTCAACGGTGAACCATCAACCATCAACCACTTCAAACCGCCTCCTCCCCTCGTTCCAGCCCGTCCTCTCCCGAACCCGCTTGCTCTTCGCTTCGTTGGTGACGGTCGGTCAGTGTCAGGATAAACCGCGCTAAGCATTTTCGCCTTGTGGATACAAGTCTCTGGGGGGACCCCCTGAGGAGCCAGGGCACCCAGCGAGCCAGCAGCCCCCTGTTAGTGAGGGGAAGAGAAAGGACCCCAGAAATGGAGACAAGAAAAAAGTTAACTGCAGTCGGTGCAGAAAGGGCAAAAAAGAGAGGGCAAGAAACACTCCAACGAATCAATGCGCACATGGACAAAAAAGGAGGAAAAGGAGCGCCCGAATGTCGGGGGCCGTGCAGGGTTGAGCACGGTAGTCCTGACGAGTAGCGCAATGCCTGTTGTCTGGACCGAAAGGTTGCTGATTAGATAGGTAGACTAGCTCACAGTAGAGATGGACCCCATAACTTTTTTTTCATCCCGTCCACCCTTTTGGCCGTCCCGTCCCCGACTCTCTCTTCCTTTTTCTCCCCTCTCCTCTTGTTTTCTCCCCGAACTTCCTTTTTTTTTTCCTCCCATCACCAATTTCTTTTCTGAAAGAGGTGTCGAGTGTGAGTTGAACCTCAGGTCTTTCACACCACCCTCTTCTCGCTTCTTCCTTCCTCTTCCGTTCTTGATATCATCAAGAACATCACCACCACGCCCAACATGACGGTCACCACCCGCAGCCACAAGGCCGTGGCCCCCGAGGTCGTCGACGCCACGACCTCCGGCGCCGACGTCTCTTCTTCTGCTTCCACCTCCCAGAAGCAGCAGGCTTCCACCGACGCCATCGAATACCCCGACATCAAGACCATTCGCGACGCCATCCCCGACCACTGCTTCCGCCCGCGCGTCTGGATCTCCATGTCCTACTTCTTCCGGGACTTCGCCATGGCCTTTGGGCTCGGCTACCTCGCCTGGCAGTACATCCCCTTGATCGCCTCCACTCCTCTCCGCTACGGCGCCTGGGCTCTGTACGGCTACCTCCAGGGCCTGGTCTGCACAGGCATCTGGATCCTGGCGCACGAGTGCGGCCACGGTGCTTTCTCGAGACACACGTGGTTCAACAACGTTATCGGCTGGATTGGTCACTCCTTCCTTTTGGTTCCCTTCTTCAGCTGGAAGTTCAGCCATCATCGCCATCATCGTTTCACCGGCCACATGGAGAAGGACATGGCGTTTGTCCCCGCCACCGCGGCTGATCGCAACCAGAGGAAGCTGGCCAACTTGTACATGGATAAGGAGACCGCCGAGATGTTTGAGGATGTGCCCATTGTCCAGCTCGTCAAGCTCCTCGCCCATCAGTTGGCCGGTTGGCAGATGTACTTGCTCTTCAACGTGTCGGCCGGCAAGGGCAGCAAGCAGTGGGAGACTGGCAAGGGCGGCATGGGCTGGTTGAGGGTTAGCCACTTTGAGCCTTCCTCTGCTGTGTTCCGCAATTCCGAGGCCATCTATATTGCCCTTTCTGATCTCGGTCTCATGATCATGGGCTATGTCCTCTACCAGGCCGCGCAGGTTGTTGGCTGGCAGATGGTTGGCCTGCTGTACTTCCAGCAGTACTTCTGGGTTCATCACTGGTTGGGTAAGTTGTGTCTCTTGAGTTCCTGAATTTTTCTGGTATTAGCGCTAACGCTCGCTCGCAAACAGTCGCCATCACCTACCTCCACCACACTCACGAGGAAGTCCACCACTTCGAGGCCGACTCCTGGACCTTCGTCAAGGGCGCTCTCGCCACCGTCGACCGCGATTTCGGCTTCATTGGCAAGCACCTTTTCCACAACATCATCGACCACCACGTCGTTCACCACTTGTTCCCGTAAGTTTGATGTCCTGGTTGTTTCTCATTTCTCCCCCTCGATTTCCCCCGCTAACGCCTCAATTCACAGTCGCATCCCCTTCTACTACGCCGAAGAAGCCACCAACTCGATCCGCCCCATGCTCGGCCCCCTCTACCACCGCGACGACCGCTCCTTCATGGGCCAGCTGTGGTACAACTTCACCCACTGCAAGTGGGTCGTTCCGGACCCCAAGGTTCCCGGCGCGCTTGTTTGGGCGCACACCGTTCAGACCACCCAGTAAGCGTGTGGCTTTGCTGCTGCTGCTGCTGCTGCTTCTTCGGGATGCATAGAGTAGAGCTGCTGTGGTTAGTGCTACTCCGGTAGTTCTACTACCAGACATTGCATACGATGTTGAAAAGAGAAAGAAAGGGAGAAAGAAAGGGGACGGGGGGCTTCAACAGGTCCGAGAGGGAAAAAAAAAAGCAAAAGGGAATCTCAACTCTTGATGATTGATGGATCTGTAATACGTTCTGGTTCGGTTAAAGGCGTAACGGTCACACAAGTCTGGATATCTGGGATTTTCAACAATGATGGACGAGAGCACGATAGATCTGGGAGCTATTAGACTACTAGGGCTATAGAGGATAGAGGATAGAAGATGTGTAGAGATGCATAGAGGAGGGCATGCATGATAGAAAAATGATACCCACCATAAACATCCAGAGCTGTTTCCTTCCGTATGTGTCCTGTGGGAAGTTTGGTCCGATGGCGCGGTGTACGACCGTATGGGGCATGAGAGGAGGATTGTACGTAGATGAGAAGCCTCGGGGAGTTGCACTTGAAGCTGATTGATCACCTAGGTATGGACCTGCAGCTAAAGAATCAAAAGAAGCATCATCAATCTGTCTCGTCGGTCGACGAAAAGAAATGGCTAGAGGTACGAAAAAAAATCTACTCACCTCGACTCAACAATTCACCAGCCCAGCACAACTCACATCACCAACAGCAGTGCCCAAAAACGCACCACATGAACAAAGAACCAAAATTCGTATTTCATTTACTTCCCGCTATCAGAGTGCCATATCCATGTCCATGAGCCATATCCGCAATCCTCCCATCAGTGCGATACTGTCAATTCCCAGAGGGCACCCGACAGTCTCAACACCGAACCCTAGTTGCTTGCTAGTTACCACAAGAAGTGAACTTGCAATCTGGTTTCCAAAGAACGACTCAACACATTTCGAACCATCGATCCGATCTGGTGCTGTTCCAAGTTAACCATAAGGGTAAGACCTTTCCGTTCATAGTTTCGTTTCTCCATGTCTTTTGTTTTCACCATTTTCATCTTCCTTCGTCTTGTCTTTTTCTCTTTCGGTTTTCAGCTCCTTTTCCCGTCTTCGCTCAACACGCCCAGAAACGTCCAGAAGCAGCATCACTAGATGCCTGTCTTGCCTTCTTATCGCTCGCCTGGTTCTCGCTGTCCTATCCAAACCAGATAGGTCCATGTATCTTTCCTTCATCCCGCAACAAAAAGAAAGAAAAAAACATACACACAAAAACACACCGCTCACAGAAGTCTTTCGATCCTTGAAAATGACAGAAAATAAACATAACCGACAGATCGCTTGTCTCGCGGTACCTCGTCAAATAATACATGTACAAGAATGTACACGAAACCTAACCCCCCACCCCCCTCCCAAAACAAAAAAAAAAAAAACAAAAAAAAAAGAAAGAAAAAAGAAAAAAAAAAACTAAAAAAAAAACCAGAGAACCATAGAACCACAAAACCAAACCCAAACGCCGTCATCGCTTCGTTAGAAGTCTCTTGAAAAATTCATCAAATATCAACGGTATGGCCTCCCATCATTCCCAGTTCCAATCCCCCATGCCCCATTTCAATCACAAGCCCTTTTTCTAGGCCTGTCCGAACCTCCCAGATTGTTTCCCAGATTCGACTCGTATTTGTCCTGTTAACCCTCGAGTCTTGTTGAGATGTCGACGAAAAGTTGCTCCCGTACTGTTAAAGTTGAAGATGTGGGCATTCATGAAAACATGTATGTCGGAAAGATATTCGTCGTAATGAATACGAAGATGTAGCAAGCAGTGTCTGATGTTGTCATTGTCGACAGTTTATTCCATTGCCGTAACGGACTTCTCGGCGCGCGCGCGCATGTGATTCGCATGGGTTTCGAGACAAGAGGAGATCAAACGGGTTACTAGAGTTGGTTAGAGTTTGCTTTCTCAATCACGTCTGGGGAGACCGAAAACTTACCCGGCCACACAGCGCCCTTCTCAATGAGATAGGCCGTGATGCGCAGTATCTTCGCCGCATAACCCATATGATCATCCCGCTGAACGCCATTGACGCCGTCGACACCGTCGCCATTGATAGCACCATGAGACGTCTGATCCGCATTCATCTTGAGCTCCGCCCGCTGGATAATCTCCTGGATCTTGCCCAACAGCTTGATGTCATCCTCTTCCAGCAGAACCACCGCGGGCACTTCTTTCAGGTCAACATCGTCCTGACCGAGGATCCCCAGGTATCGCCCAACGCGGTCTTGCAGAGTGGCAACCCACTCAGCCAGCACCTGTGCGCAATCAAAGGTGCAGATCGCTGACTGCACAGGCAGCTCGCGAGCGGTCGCATCGGCGAACGTTACATTGAACTTGTCCGCATTGAGCAACGAGTCAGCCGCGATGAAACCTGCCTTTCTGAGATGGCGTTCCCTCCGTGGATCGGACCGGTTGTTCGCAATTGAGAGTGGCGACTGGCCGAGGCTCAGATTGGGGAAGGCTTCAGGCGTGGCCGTGTTCGCGTCTTCTGTTGCAGGATTGCTAGCGATTGGGGTCAGCTCGGCATGTTGGACTATCTCAAAGCCGCGAGCCAGCTCCTCTGCCATGCCATCCCAATCCCGCTGCCAAAACTTCTCCTTGACGCGAGAAAAGTTGACGTAGAGACGGACGTAGGCAAGATCAAGCAACGGAATGGCATCGGCGGCAAGCGGCCCCTTGCCAAACGGATTCGGACGCTCTGGGCTATGGTGGGGATTGCTCTCCCATACGGCTTTCCACGCGCGAAGAGCAGGCTCAATGTGTCGATGCATCTTTTCAGTCTCTTCATTCGTCCATACCTTGTTATGGTGGCGTTGGCGAGTTTCCCAGATGTAATTGTGCAGGGCATTGATGAGGATCAGACAACCAAACGTGCTTGGCTTCGGAAGGTTACTGTTGGAAAAGTCGTTGCCGTCCGCCAACCCTGAAGCCAGTTTCTGCCTCTGGAGGAGTGCCCCCAGAGCCTCGTGAAACGTCATCCGGTTGTGGTTTGCGGCCGCGACGCCACCTTTGGCATGGAAGATTTGACTCGAGTCCGCAGCAAAGAACTCTTCATCACATGGGAGGTCGAGGAAGATCTCGGAGTTGGTCAAGGCTGGCGTGTGGTTATAAGCGGATACCACAAGGCTAGAGAGAATAAACACGGTATAGAGCGTCCGCTTCCTCTCCTCCATGGACTTCCAGCGGAGCCATTCCACCTCTGCCGCATTCCAGCTTCCATCCATATCCATCATGTCGACACCGACGCTGGGCTCGATCCTGATCGGGTTCAGCAGCTCGGCTCCTTGGGCCAGACTTACCAGCGCGGCAGCGTGGGTTGACGCAATTTCGCCGGACCGTTTGTCGCCGCAATTGTGGCCATAAATTACGTTGAGGAGCATAGCTTGAACAAGCCAGACGGGCGTTTCGATCGGGTTTTCCTGCTGCTGTAAAGTGTGCTCCGACATGGAAGGTCGCCGGAAATCTGCCTTCCTTACGTTTGCTTTTCTTCTCTCATCAAGGTATAATTGAATCATCTTTTTGGCCATACCGAACATCTCCATCGATATCTGCTGCTGCATCTCGTAGAGGGCACCAATAGCCGCCATCGAGAGGAGAAGGCAACCGCTCCCGCCAATACCATTGTCCTGCCCGTTAACCGAAAGCGTGGGAACGTCGAAGGAGAGCGTCGGTATGTGGAGGAACGGCAGATGTGGGTGGAAATATCGCAAATAAGCACTGACGTATCGTTGGAGATCGTGGGTGTTGGGGAGGGTGTTGGGGAGCTCGGTGGTGGTGGTGGCTGTCGTCGGTGATTGTGTCGACAACGGGGAGCTGGTTGTCGCGTACGAGTATCTTCGAGCTCCGAACTGGGAAGCCTGGGAGGCCGTCAGGGCACCTAGGATGGCATGTCTTGTTGAATCAGTGATTGTCGAGACGGGTAAGGTGCCATGAGTACTACCATTCATCGACGACGGCGTCTCCGGGCCGGCACCGAAATTGTTCAGTGCATTGTTCATGTTTTGACCATTGAGGCCCGAGAACATGTTGGGACTTAGCGAGTTCATTGAGGACGGTGGTGTCGAAAAGTAGGCATCCCCCATACTCTTGCTGGACGGAGCGGGCTGCGGCGATAGGGGAACCCCGGTCAAGAGGTCGGGGAATACGGTATTGCCCATGTCGCCGAGAGAAAACGAGTTGGGCATTTGCGGGGGCCCCATTATACTGCCCTGCCAGATCGAGCTCGTCTCCACAGCGGGAGCGCGGTGGTTCGATCCATCCACCATTACGTCGCTGATGCCGCTCTGGCTGGCAGTGCTGATGGCTGAAGGCGAGGAGCGGTCAATGGCATGGTCGTGCAGATCGTTATTGAAGGACATTGTCTGCTCAAAGCCTTGTAGCCAGTCAAAGTTATCATCCATATGCTGGCCGCCTGTCATGTCAGGAAGCCCGTGGGGGAAGGGAGACAATGGGTCGACGCCCATCAGGCTCGGCGAGTCATTGTAATGAAGCGCGTTGGGGTTGATGGTCGAGGCCGGGCTAAACAGCATCGAGGCTTCCCCAAAGTCGAACTCTGGGTTGAAGGGCATAATGGGAGCTGTCCTCAAGCCCGTAGAGAAGTCCATGCCGTTGATGGTATGGGTCTCCAGTTTGGGGAGTCCGTGAGGAACACCGCGCTGCACCATGGCGTTCGCCATCCCGGTATAAGCGTGATGATCAAAGTTGTTGTGAGGGAAGCCAGCCAAGCTGGGATGCCGGCCGTGTTGTGGTGGCATAGCCCTGGCCGCCTGAGCATTGGCCGCAGCGATCAACTGCATTGTCGCAGTGTCGACGTGACTAATGGTGTTTGCTCGAGGCCGCATGGCAGCAGTGACTGCTGCTTGGGCGGCAGCATTGGGGCCAGGGCCAGCTACGCTATTCTTGCGAACCCGGTTATTACCACCGGCCATAGGCGCGCTCGTGCTCTCGCGGCGGTTGCGAGGACGCGACGACGGGGTAGTGGTCTGGTGTAGCTTCTGCTGGTGCCTCAACAACAGATCTCTTCGGGCAAAGCATCTTGCACAGTCTGGGCACTCGAAGGGCTTTTCTTTGGTATGGGATCGCTCATGGCGCTTGAGGTGTTCCAGACGGGCAAAGGACCGCTGGCATGTTCCGCAGACGTGAGGACGGGGTTTATCTGTCTTGGGTGGAGGGAAGTTGTTGGCCGGAGCAGCGAGAGCTTGGGTATTCACTGTGATGGTCGCGGCTTTCGAAGTCAGCCATCCATAGTCAGCCAAGCGGTTCTTCTTCGCAAAGACCAGGGCGGTTGATGGTCAATAACAGGGCTTGAGGGTATGTACGAGTCAGGAAGGCATGGAGGTAGGCAGTAATGTATAAGACGATCCCGTGGAGGGGTAAGCAAAGCAGTGAAGCAGCAAAGCAGCAGAGGGGCATATGTTGGCATACCAGACTCATCACCAGCAACGGGAGGGTTCCCACTGGTCGGCGATGGGGATGCCGACGTTGTCGAGTTGTTGGACATGTTGGTGTCGACCTCGAGCTTGCCAGCGGGGTCACTCGAGATGGGCATTGTTTGGTGAAGAGGGTTTGTTAAAAGGTGAATCGAATGCTTGTTGGTAGTATGATGGATCAAACAAGCTTTGTGCGGGTGACACGGAGAGAATCGAGGCGACAATGCTTGTTTTGGGTTGTCAAAGGAAAGAGCAGCGAAGCTCACTCGGCTGTAGAAGAGGGCTGGGGAACGTTGTTTGGTTCAGGTACCGCCTAACAGATACAGTGTATTGCCGATGACAGGCGAGATCGATGGGTATCGTCTGGTGTTTTTGGATATCGTACGGTAGAATATCTCGTCCGATTGAAGTGGGCAGTTATTGAGTGATCTGACCCGCGGGCTGTAGCTTTGACGACGATGATGGAGTTGGTAGTTGTGATGATTGTGGTGGGGATTGAGGTGGGCGGCGCGGGCGTGGGCGTGGGCGTGTTGGTGGTCCGAGAGTGACAGTATAGCGCCTCGAATCAGTGGTAGCATGCTAGGGATTCCGCCGAAACTCGCAATTGGCGTCGACTCAATCACCGTATCATTCCGTTCTCGATACCTATGATTGATGTTGTCGTTGTTGATGGTTGATTGTTGATCGGTTGTTTCGAATGCACGGAACTGTGACTCGAGTGGAAGGAAAGAAACGTGGACGTGGTGAGCACCTAACTGACCCAAAACGATGGGGGCAAAAGAGAGAGGCAATGGAGGAAACAGCAGTTCACTGTGCACTGACGGGAGTGACTGAGCGCTGCTACTTTGACCGTGTCCCAGTGTGAACTAACTTTGAATGCTGTGACTGGATGGATTGGATTCATGGGATTGGATGCCATGATCTGATAGGTCATTGGAACCCTTCATTCAGGTGGTTCCTGTCCCGTCGCCCCGACGCCAGAATCACAGCCCAATGGTTTTTAGAAGCCGTGATAAAGGTACTGTGCTTGTGTGGAGAGTCCGTGATGGGGCCACTGGAGCATGGCACTAGAGGTAGGTAAACAGGTGCGATGGTGGTCCCGGTCTGGGCACTCATAGGCCGCCCTCCACATCGTCCCGAACTTGGACTTTACAAGGCAAGAGCAGCTTCGGTCACGATCTGGAAATGGAAGTAGCGCGTTGGATGCCGAAATGATGAGGCCGGCATCTGCTTTTCTCTTTGGCTTCAGCTGGCAAAGTTGCAGAAGCGCGAGACATGGTCGTGTCTGAGTGAGTTCCGCCAGATGCAGTGCAGAATGGATCTTGTATCAAGGACAGGCTGGATAGCGACACAGTGTAGTCTCTATAAAAGCGCATACATATATTGCACCACTATAATTCCCGTCGCCGTTGTTGATATTGTCGAAGCATCACATCACAACCAGAACCACTTGGAGCAGAACCCCTGTGAAACTGTAACACACCATGGCGCCCTGACCTCCTCTGGTCCCTCTGCTGGAGACCGCTTGCACTGGCCTGCACTGGTACCGGAGCAATACCTCGATCGCGCAAGTGGCAGGCCGATCCACCTGTTACCGGCCGTCTTCGGTCGCCAGAGTTGCGCAGGTGACCCCGTTGATGTTCGTCTTCGTACCTGCTAAGTCTTGCTGGACCCTGTCAATCGGGGTCAGCCAATGGAAACGATCCAATCATTCCATGACCAATGACAGAAGACAATGAAGCGTCCAAGAGTGGAGTCATTCGGCTGCCACTCCTGTTCTGCAACAGCATCTCGCACAGTGGCTCTTTCCCTCGAGACAACTTGAAGAGGCCATCTCCCACTCGAACCGAACACGGAAGGCGTGGCCTCTTGGACTCTCTTAGAGCTTCAGTTCTAGTATCGCAGACGACCAATTTGTCCGCGGCGTGGTCACGATGTGCAACAGACTTTGGAGATGGAAAATGACATCAGTGTCTGTTCGTCCACCCGGTGAGTCAATGGGTTTATGTATCCTTCTATCTGATAGGCACCGGACCGATAGCCAATCTGCGACTGCAACAGGCCGGCCAAGTTGAGCCTCCAGATTCACCCCGAAACGACAACATCAGTAGCAGCCAGCTAGTTGCCTACTTTTTTGCTTTCCTCTCATCTTCAGGCACTTTGTGTTTGTATACCATCTTCAAAACATGGTCGTTATCACCGTTGCTCATTCCACTGAAACACCTCTGCCGTGGTACCTTGGTACCTCTGCATGCTCTGCCTTTGGCTCTTTGACTTGCCCGCTCCATTCATTGCTAGGGCGTTGGACAAGCCTCGCTCTGATTGGCCAGTCTCATCGCAGCCTTCCCGCCTTTGTACTAGCCTGATGCATCTTTCTGCACGTTCTCCCATTCGTTCACCTTTTTGTCACTTTGTTCACAGTCTCACGACAGCTTCTTGATACTTTGGTTCCGATGCCTCGCAAGTTAACTTTGCCTTTGAGATGTGGCATACATACATGATGAATTCTCCAAGCTCCCGTCACGGGTTCGCAACGGCCCTTTTCCTTTTATCGGCATCCCGACTCGCTAAACTGCCCTTCTCATCGATTTGACAGAACAGGTCACGGCACTTTCCACATTCCGACATGAGGCCCAGAGAAGAGGCCCAATTACCAGCTCTCCCAATCAATGGCATTGCCATTCCCAATTCCGCAGTTGCCTTTTCTTCGCAGGTCTGATATCATCTTCACCCTTCCATTCTCACGCCTCTGCGCCAAGGGCCCCAATTGGCGATGGACCCAATCTCCCAGCCAAACGGTTCACACCATCTCTCGGGATGGGGGTGACGGAGGGGCAAAATCGACGCCAGTGAGGCTTTTCCATCTGTGTGTTTGCCACGCGTTGGTGCCATGCCAGTGCTGTGCCAATGCTTCTTCGGTGCGAGCCGTTGACTGCAACTGGTTGACTGGATTCATGTACACACCATGTACTGTCTACTGCAAGTGGGAGCCATCGGCACCAACAGGGCACTGCAGCGCATAGCATGGCATCCGAGGGCATCCTATCGAAATTGGTTCATGCCTAGGTAGGCTGCCCTAAACGGGTATTGTCCGGACATAGCATTGAGAGCTTCACTTTGCCGCCACAGGGTTTGAACTTATAACCACGTCTGGGTTCAATGGCAGTACCTATCTGTGATGGTCTCTGGCGAGACGAGCCCCGAACCTGATCGTTCCGAAAGCTGGCGCAAGTCGCGGCCCGTGGCATTCCATTGTCAGTGGAACCATTGGAGGTTTGGGGGTTTGGAACAAGGCAAGATGGCCAGATTAGATGCAGCACAAGGTTTCATTTGCAATCGGCATCAAATGTCGTCCTTGGATAGTTTTTCCCTTTTTTGTTTCCGGATTCTTACACCCATGGTTCGCAGTTTGCACCAATCTCGGCATCCATTTGGAAGAATCTTGCGTGGCGGACAAAGAGAGACAGGGCTTTTCTTCCCTATCAAACTGCCATCATCGTTCTTATCAACAACACCTGATCCAAAGATCCGGGGTTCTCCCGATCGGCACTATTAATAACATTGACGTTACGAACCAACCCTGACAACAAGTCCCTGAGAAGCTGATCAGGGATCCAGGGCTCTGTGAGCGGCCAGGAACATTCGCTGACTGCAGAGCGATCGGACCTAGGTAAAGGGCACAGTGTGTCAACCAGTGGGATATTCCAGCGGTCGAAACACACAGTTAAAATCCGAAGCGCACTTACTGTGGTCGGTACCGTGACCACATCACTGTGGACCAAGCTCACCACCATCCATAGTGCGATGCTTGCGCAATTGATAGTAAAACGACTTGTGCCTGACCACACAGATCCGGGCATCGGCCTTTGGCGTAGGTGGCCCCACGATGCTGAGCTGCCAAGTTTGGCGTCTGCGGTACCTGCCTCGCGCTTACTGTGTACACACAAGCCATGACCAATTCAATACTACGACATTTAGATATCAAAACTACGTACAACTTTCTCAATAACTAACTAACATGCGGGGGCCTCTCGCCGGCCCCGGGCCCTGCACCCCCGGAACTGACCCTAATCAGGTACACAATGAACTCGGCGCAATTGATTCCTCAATTGAGGCCAATTACGCCGTCAGGGCAGTATGAAACGAGGCCCAAGGTCTGGTGGTAGGTGCACTGGAGAGACGGACTTCAAAAGTGAACAAATGTGACCCCCAACATGGCACCCCACTGCAACATCGGACTGGACCCAGAAAGCCCAAAAAGTGCACTAGCTGATACTGGAAAGACTATTAGAAAGCTTCCAATGCAGTCAGTCGTTCACCAACGTGACGGACGTGACGGGATCGTGGCGCAGCACGCAGCCTGACTGCAGGTTCAGGCATTGCAGGCATGCAATTCCATCCATGCTTCCGTCGGCAGTGCACTGCAATAAGGCTGCGTTGCCGCCTATGCTGCCTAACAAATGTGCCTACCATGTGCCTGCATTGAGACTAACAAACCTGTCCTCCATTGACTACTGACCTCAGTGGATTCATCATGGGAAGCATTTCCTTGGAGAAGATGAGATGCTTTGTAAGTAGTAGACATGGTGAAGCTACCCCTCCATCCCATCTTGCCCGCCCGTCCGTCCCAATTCCAAGAAGTGGTGCCCTGTCTCGGAGGGGCGCATGAATGGAGGGGTCGCCAGGGGGGATTCAGGTACCTTATCGCTAGCGAGGGGTAAATCGCCATTTGCCCCGCGATACTTGTCCAACATGACTTTCATTGAAAGAAAAGGGGACGTCTTGGAGAAGACCCTTTCAAGACCCTGAAGAGGGAATCGAGATGACGGGATGGTTCTTGATCCTCGGGTTGGAGTCGTAGTGTACATTGGGGTCCTGATGATGAGGGCTTCTCCAACAGTGCCCCGCGGTTCTGGCGGGCCCGTTCTGGCAGTGGGGGGGCATGGACATTGGACTTGAGCCGAGTGCCCTCTAGATCTCTCCTTTCTCGGACCGTAGGCTAGCATTTGACACTAGAGGTAGACCACTCCGACACGCTGACACGCATCTCAACAGAACTCCAAGTCAACGGCCTGGCAACACACGCTTTGGAGCCTGGCCGGACCGGGGCCGGAGGGGCCACGGCGAATCCACATCTTCTGCCCCGCGGACCCGCTGAGACCCGGTATTTACCCCGGACCCCGGATTCCGGATGGGGCCTGTCTCTCCACACTTAGGCTCCGCAGTCGGTGCTCCACGCCGTGAACGTCTACACGTGTAGCAACTTCTTCCGTTCAAGCCGTCAAAGGCACCCGTGTTCGCCGCTTCGGGGCGGTTTCGACCTTGGGAAACCATGCTGTCCGGAAAGCATGACTCTGGGACCACGAAAGCAATGGTCAAAACCAGCAAAGTTGGGCAAGGTGAGTCTACAGCCGTTTTCAGACCTCAGTGAGCTCGACATTTGGCTTCTATCTGTTACATCGCTATTGACTTCTTCATGCTCCTTTCATGCCTTTCTGCTTGCATGTACACACACAAGCAGAACGATTCACCTGCTCACAGCCTGCTTGCTGATATCTTCATACAGTCCAATGCTGGTTTGTTTGTTAGCTCTGTACCCCAGTAAGACACATGCCAACCCATCCTGAACGCCGCAATGGTACTTTAAAATGCATAAATAATGGTCAAAAACAGATTACCAGTATCGGACTGTACATACACGTACCTCGGTCTTATAATCCGGGATACATGGGTGAGATTGGGCACGCTGGGCACACGCTCCATTCATTCCCTTTTACAGCCTTTTGCATTGCCCAGTCTTGAACTTGCCCTTTTCTGTTTAGCTTTGGGCTTCATGATCCTTGGTTGGTGTCTCATGGCCCTTGTGCTCCGTGGGAACCTTGTCTTTCCCAGACTTTGGTCCAGATTCATGTCTCCACCAGAGAAGAACAATTCTTCACCGAGTTCCCAATGAAGCTCACGAACTCAAACACGAGACCAGAGTCAAGAACAAGAGCAGCAAATCCTTTGGTCCTTCACTTGATTCCTCCTGTTCCTTTTCTTTCCCGTTGCCCCTGGGTTTATACGATCCCATCACACACAACACGCTGTGCTTCCCCCCTGCCATACCCCCAGGTACTACGGGTACCGACTTCCCCCGTCCCCGTCCCTGTCCCCGAGCCGCGTGGATGCCATGCCCTGCCCTGCCCTGCAAAGGCAAAGTGCAGCAAGCCCCGTGATCGCCTCGTGCAGGCTAGCCTACCGTCGTCTACCCTGTCACTGCAGGATGCGAAGTTGCAGATGCAATATCGAACCGTTCGAGCCGCTCAAGCCGCTGCATGGGTTGGTTAATTTGTGGGAATTGAACACAGGTTAAACACCAGTTGGAGGCCAAGCTTGCGGTTGCGTAACACGGTTTATGGGATACTGCATGTGGAATTGATGAACTCGTGGGATGATATCAGTGAAACCCACGGATTGACACTCTCGATTCCGAGATTTCACCAAAGCGTGACTGACCGGGAAGTCCAGCAGATCCGCGAGTTTCCAATTCATGGTGATGCATGGGAAGCAGTTCAAACATTCTTGGATATGCCCGCCCATTGCAAGGGACCAACAACAACAAAGACTGGCGGCCAATTCTATCCTTTCTTGCCTTGCGTCTGCCTACCTAACATCGGGGCCAGCAGGCCGAGGTAGCACTATACAGTATACTTCACCTCGCACGACATGTATAACATGAGGTAACAGCGGTAGCATCACATCCTACTGTACGCACATCGTGCAGCAAGCAGTATGTACCAAGCAAGCAAGCACCTACCTAGGTATGTAGTGGTAGGCAAGCAGCCAGGCAGGGCCGTCCGCGAACCATTTTATCAAATTCCACAATTCGTCCAAACTGAGGCACCAATGAAGTCAGGGCTGGGTGCAATGTTTTGGTTGGCAAATGCAAGTATCAGCAGATTGAATTCTTTTTGACGAATTGCTCCATGAACCAATTGGATCCCGGGGCGTTTGATGAAGTACAACGGGCTCACAAGGAAAACGACATGGGCGGGTCAGCATGGGAATGACTGGATGGGATGGTTGCCGTCGCTGTGACTCCAAACAGTCGGTCGATAGTCCGAGATTCAAGAAAAACCGTCTCCTGAGTAGGTAAGGTATCAATCGAATTGCGGCTTGGAAGAGTACAACATGGATATGTCGAAGAACGATTGAGTATCTCTACCTAGGTATTAACGAATCGAGACAGTCAAAATTCTCAATGAGGGAACACCACGCATCGAGAGGAGAGATGAGGGAGGTTTGTCCTGCGAGCTATTACAGTATACAGCCCAAATCCGCGAGGGATTGCGGCATTTTATGTGCGCATGCCAACGAACAGCTTCTACACTAAGGTACCTTGCATACATACATATTCCGAGGAGCATATACCTCGGATGTACCAGGACTCAGTGATGTACTCACACACGAAAAGCCAGCCGCATCATATCTAGTGCAGCCAACATCACTCCCATTATTATTCACATCTAAAACAGCCATATCCGTGCACATAGGTATGTACAGCAGCCCGAATATGTATGTATGTGAAGCAATAAGGGACCTCTACACCTGCTATACCTAGGTAGTCTAGTCCCCTCTGATTGGTGCGCAACTACACACACACACATATACAGGTTCTACCTTCAACGGTTCGCAAGAAAGGGCACGGACAATGGAGTATGATGGAGGGTTACGTTGGAGGAAACTTGGAGGACTCGGGGAGGCTTACACTAGGCATGACACCCACCCACGTTCTTGGGGAGGGAGGCAATCACTTGGGAAGTCTGGTTGGGAGGGAAAAGACCAGACCCCTGGCTTGGCCGCCTTCACGCCCTGATGCTGATGCTGATGCAGGTGAGGACGGAAGGGGAAGTCGTTTGGTGATTCGTCGAACGGTTGAGGTTTTGGCCTTTTGGGGGGAGGAATAAGTAATGAGTGCGGCTTTGGTTCCGCTTAGGTAAGGTAGGTAGTCTCAGTTATTGTCTGTACATACATACCAGAGTAACCAGACACATTACTAAGATACCTAGACACTGGTCACTAGTTGCTTGTGGCGTTGGTGTTGGTGTTGGATGTTGACATTGACGTCGGCGGGCTGGCTGGCGTTAATGGTGTTTAGAAGGCATTCTGAAGGCGAGACTACCTACCAATGCCTCGGTCGGGAATGATCTCTATCCCACTTCCTTCACTTTGGTCCCCTTCCCCCCTCAAAGCTAATGCCGTGCAGATTGGCAATCTTGTTATCAATCTCACGGATCTCGCTGCTAGCCATATTCTTCCGAATACTAAGTATTTCCAGCTGGTGAGCCAGGCTGTGAAGGAAGGTGAGCAAACGGGATGCTTCCAAGTTCACAGATCAGTCAGGGCACCCAAGCGGGCCAGAAAAGCCTTAACATTCCCTCTCCCCCCAGCCATTCGTCTCGATTTCTTTTCTCCTCATCAGCATCCTCTTCTTCTCTTCTTCAAATACCGACACCTCTTTCGCCATCCGCCAGTGCACTTACTCTTCAGTCGGCACTCACTGAGACCAACGACCACGCTGACCATCACTCCAACAACGCGGAGAACGGCGCCCCTGCCCCCGTTGAGCAGGTCGTTCCCCCCCAAGCTTGAGGGTTGGGTCGAGGCGACTCCGTACCAGTACGATGAGTTTGCCAATCGTGAGACCGAGTACCTCCTGGCCCGATGCCTTCACCTTCGGTACTCGCCTCCCGGTTCCAGAATCCAGCTGGCCACTGTAGGTCAACCTCATGGAGCTGCTGTGTGCTGTCTTGGAATGCTGAAAGCTGACGAATGAGTCCGTCAGCTGTTAGAGTTTCCCTGAGCGGCTCCAGAAGTCCGAGCCCCATCCTCGACGCCGATCTCCATGACCTTTTCCCTGCCAACTCACAGCGTTTTTCAAAGCGTCACGGCGCGCCTCACCCGCCTCTGGCCCGGCAGGGCCGACTTGGTCCTGGCCGCGTTGGCCTTCCTCCCATGTTGGGCTCTCGTCTACCCACGGGGCCTGGCGTGGCCGTTCCGGTAGGTCAACCTCACTCTATTCACAGCCCATATCGCTACACCTTTTGTCGAATATCAGACTGTGCTAGTTGGTACAAACAAGCTAACCAGTGACGGATGGTGAACAGGCCGGGCATTTCCTCGTCTCCAGATCAGTCAGGGCACCCACGAAACCTATTCTCCTCTCAGCGGCAGGGAGGTAGAGGATATCTACTACTTCCGCGACGGCGTCTCCGAGTGCCAGTTTGCCGCCATTGGTGAACTACAAAACATCGAAGAAGCAACGCCACTCCTGTCCGTCTTCGGCATGGATATCGGCTTGAGGATAACTGTTGACTTGTGCGTTGGCCGTATTTTGTCTGTTCGCCTTGCGAAGACGGGCGATGAGAGAATAGGCATGCATGGATTGCATCGCCTGGGTCAGGCGCACACGTCATCAAGCAGGAGGTGGAGGCCATCGAGAAGGTCTACAAGGACAGAACCAAGAAGAATGCCAGGATTACGGCGGGTGATTGTGGCCACCAAGCGTGCCCCAGGAGCATCGCCAGCTGTACAAATCCAAGAAAGGCGATTCGATGAATCTGCCTGGGCAGACCAACATTCGCTTCTTCCCCGAGAAGGGAGACAAGAACGGCAACTGCGAGCCTGGCACGGTGGTGGAGAACCGTTTGACACTCTTTTCTCCCACCAAGACGGCAGGCACATTCTTCTCGTTCTCCCTCTTCCAACTCTGCGAGCCGTGCACGCTGGTGGAGAAAGAGGTCACCCATCCCTTCCACTACGACATCTTCCTGAACTCGCATCATGCGCTCCATCTCTTCGCGGCCTTCCCGGAGAACACATCCCAGTCTCAGTCCTCCGCCGCCGCAATCGCAACGCCACAGAACATGAAGGCAACAAGCACAGCGGCCACAGGCATGCCGTCCATGGCTGCCATGTGCGCCTCAGTCGACACCGCCTGGCCGCACACTCCTCCACAACACACCCAGCAGCCCCAGGTGCTTGACCCGTGAGACGTCTCGCAATCCCACGTATAGCACCAGCAGAGGTAGCTAGGACCATTCCTTCCAATTCTCTCCCGCCCTCTAGGAGTTCTACGCCTCTGTGGACACATTTTCGCTTCGACTCGACGCGTCTGACGTCTATGAGCCTCACCGACGCCTACCTCAAGACCGACATCAGCAGCACCTTTGCCATTCGAGGCGGCTTCAACACCGAAGGCACCAGCATCAGGGTCGCCATCAACCAGTATCCCGTCACCTGTCAGAGGCCAGAAGGGTCCACTTGTGCACGTGCCGCTGACCGCCTGGATATGGCCAGCTCTGTGCGGGATTTTTACCCAGATTCCAGGTCTGCAGACCTTCGTACTCAATACAACACACCACGTTGAACCCCATATCGATTACTGGCCAGATAACTGGCTACCTTGTTACATCACCAGGATCGCCAATATGGATGTTTTCCAGTACGACATTGCCCTGAACCCACCGGCGCCGTCGTTTACGACAAGGTCTGTCCATCGGGAGCTACTTTGTCGCTCCGGCTCGGGCTCGGGCTCAGGCTCGGGCTCCGGCTCCGGCTCAGGGATCCTTGAATGGATATTGGATGTTCGCAACATTACATCCCGTTCCCATTCTCGGAACGACCTGGGCCGCAAGCTTGGTGGCGAGAGGAAGAACGTCTTTCACATTACCATCAGGCCCACTAGCAAAGTTCGTCTCCAGTCTCTGAGGGCTTACCTCGAATCCTCCATTTCCAAAGGCAGGTTCCAGTGGCGCACTGGCTTCTTCAGGCGAATGCCCTTTTGGGTTGTTCTGCCCATGATCATCTGGGCTTACTTCAACCCAACAAAAGACAAGAGCGAACGCTAGGTGCGTATGTTTCTTTGAGGAATGTCGAGAAGAGGTCTCCTTGGGACAACCACGTGCTCGAGTGCATGAGCTTTCTCAATCACTTGCTCCGCCAGCGAGGGCAGTCGGCTTCGGAAGCCCGTTCCAAATCCCCTCTGCCCCGGCCCCTTCGAAAGCCTTCCACCCGTTCCGAATTCCCCTGTGGTGTCCAATCGAGAGCTTGATCTGCTCCTCATGGCGTACAAGGGCGTCTACGCTTCATTCCGACTCAGCCAGAACATCAAACCCATTAGTCTAAGTGTCAATATCGATGTAACCAACAGATAGCTTGGCAGTGTCAGCGTTTCTATATCACCGACACCAGCGCCAGAAGCGGAGATGGAACCTAGTCCGCCACTTGGACCGTGGCCAGCATACCAACGGACTTCGGAGGGTGGCGCCGGTGTCGGCCAAAGCATCAACCAGTCGTCGGGCCACATTCCTGTGTTTGTATTTGTATTTGTGCTGGAGGAAGCAAGACCAGATCACGGATCGACCACTGACAGCGCCTTGAAGCCGATCCCTGTTGCCAATCCCGCACCACCTGCGACATGGTGGGAGTTGAGTGGTTTGTTAAGCCGGAGTAAGTCATGGTGGTTCTTGTAAGTTACCTCTAGCTTCAACTCTCATTCATTGTTACGCGATATTTCGAGGGTGTGTTGGAATCAGCTAACCGAGAATATAGCCACTGGCCGAAGCATAGCCTCCATACTCCGTCAACACAGGCGTCAACAACCACAGCCGCAACAACAGAGGAATCTCCGTCAACACAAGCGTCGGCGGTCAGAACCTCGGGGAGCCAGCGCGGCAATTACTGGCTGAGAACGTCCGCAACGGAACCCGTAGGTACTGGTACCTACCTACCTCTACGGCTGCTACCCAGAGGACCGTGCTATCCACCACCCACCAGCTGCGGTGCTATGTGGTAGGAACACTTCCGTCCGGTTCAGAATAAGCTAATCTTATCCCCATGTTATTAAAGAGATTAAGGTATATTAACAGTTGCCCCTTTGCGTAGACAGATGCAGAGAAAAATTCCGCTACGTTGTTACAAGCGCTTGATTCCTTCATCAAGGTACCTAGCCGACTGGAGCTGGTCCTTGTAGGTAGCCGAACTGGTCTTTGAGATGGCTAAACCACCTCAGGGTCCAAAAAATTGTAGAGGTAGTTGTTGTGGATGAAGGTAGGTAGGTAAATACCCAACCCTAGTGTACCCTATTTCGCCTTCATTTGGTATTCTACCCCTTTTGTCTTTTCCCCTCATTTCCTTCTTCCTCGCTTTGCTCGTTCTTTTCTCCGTTCCTAGCTAGCTAATATCCACGAGGCCATGCTCAACGTTTGGTCCCGTTTCCCAGACATACCTAGCGCCTAATGTTTGGGCGTAACCTGCACGGTGCTGGCTGGGGGTTGGAAGTGCAAATAGAGGTGCAAATGGAGGTGCAAATAATAGTTCAACTACATGTAGTGGTCTACAGGGAAGACCAACTTGCAGTGGAAGTTTCTCTGTTTCTTCCCATATTTCAGGTCCCCATAAGGAGGAAGTGCTGCCAGTCATGTCATCCGGAGACCAGAATGTCCTCACGACCGGTCATCTAGCCTGTGAGGCATTGGTGTAATGTGTACCTATGCGGAAACTTACCTACTTAGCAGATAGGTAACGGAGCCGTCGTGAGAAATAAGCAGAACACGTTCCGGGTCAAGAAATCACACCTTCAATATCTTAATGCACGTATCTAGACGCCTTTTTTCCGTGTTCTAGTATAAATTCAATCTATCCCCTTGGACCCTTGATCGTAGAACAAGTATTAGAGCCTGGGCAGTAAGCAATATGTTACTAGATCAGTACGAGATATCTCACCGTTCTGTAACAGCTTTCCCGAACTGACGTAAGTCGTAGTAGACTGTCCATGTTCGATTTTATTTTACAAACATTCGGTAACGTATGTGGGTGTAAACCAGCGGGGCCGGGACTTGACCACTTGGGGAATACCACGCGGACACTCTGAGCTTTGAGGGTATTATAACAACGTTCAAAAGGTAAATTAAGTAGTAATAGTTGTGAAAGTCCTCAAAGTTGTAGGATCATGCATTATTTTGTGTTATTTGTGTGTTTGGAAACGGCGGGTTGTCGAGCAACTTAGTACTACACTATACATGACCCACTAAAACAGCGATGACCTCCAAGTAGACGTTCTCAAAATTTCTGGCCTCAACGAGTTTTGTAGGTGAAGGTTGTGCTAGGTACATGCCAATCCACCAATCATAAGAGACCTTTCTGGTCCTGTTTCAAAAACAAAAAGAAAATTTGCCGTCCGCATGCATGACTCTCTAGAGTTAGGTAGACAGCGAACCAACGTCTTGTCAATCTTGAGTGTTTGTCTAGGTAGGTACCTATGAATCTGGATGTGCTTGTTGAAATACGTCTTTCAGCTTTTGCAAAGGCATTGTGAAGCGTAGGTAGGAGAAGAGCTAGTTCTTAGGACAGATTTCGCTCCATACAATGGCGACACCGATAAAGCCAATAAGCATACTGAAGAGGAAGGACTCACTCCCTTTGTCATCGTCGTCGGAGGTGGTGGTATCACTTCATGTCCCTTCGTCATCGTCGTCGAAGGTGGTGGTACTATAACCATCTTGAGAAGAGGCACTGGATGTACTGGGGGTCCTGCAGATGCTAGAGATGCTGGAGGTAGTACTCGAAGCACCATATGTATCTCCACATGGTGTACCAGCCGTCTTCACGCCCTCAGTCTGCTTCTTTATGTCCTGACCCGTCATCAAAACCGGCCACATCCGATCAATCCACTGACAACGGTCGTTGAGTTCCGGAAGGATACCTCCGCCGACTCCATGGCCATGTCCATGTCGCGCGCGTACAAATGGGAGAGGTCGCGGCCGCTCCATGTCACGGAGCCGCCCTTCCATGTCACGCAGCCGCCCTTCCATGTCACGCAGCCGGCGTTTGTAGTCGGCATCGGAGGAATCGTAATCATAGCCGTAGGCAAATGGCTTGTGATAGACATCGGGGTAGTGGGAGATGAAGGCTGTGGCGAGCATCTCATCCGTAGTATTCGCCTCGGCCATGGTCATCAGATCGTAACGACGCTGAAGCTGGAAGAAGATATCTCTCGTCGGTAGCAACCACCACTCTGGACTGCCGGACGAAATGGACAATGGAGGATTGACGGCATTGTAAGCGTTGAGAGACGACATGGTGTTTATGTTACCACGGCCAGGGGTGCAGGAAGACAGTAGTATACTCTTCACGTCCAGATCCTGGACTGCTTCCGGGGTCGCAGCAAAGAGGTAGGCCACTACGAGCCAGCGGCCTGCCAGCCACCCGCTGTTGTGGTTGTCTTTGATGTTTAGACGTTGCGAGAAGACGATCCGCCGGCTGTGGCGGAGGTTGGGATAGCGGCGGTGTGGGTAGACGGAGACGGAAGTAGGGCCGGCAAAGCCGGGGGGTAGTTGGTAGGAGGTCCAGTTAGCCAGAGCGCGGGTGTCGGCCTGGTTTTCTTCGTTGTCGTTGATGGAGGACATGGAGGAGGTTCCAGTCAAATGCTCCTCCAGCTCCCTGAGCTGCGTGGGAAGATCGATGAAGAAATGGCGAAGCTCCATGTACCATTCCGTCGGGTTAACAGTCTCCCAATTGTGGATGGACTCGGCAAGATACCGGGTTATCTCGGCACGGAAGTGGTGAGAAATGAGAACGGATTTGAACTTCCGTTTCGCTTCTGGGGGCGGCCTGAGCTTGACGGGCGGTTGAGGAGGTGGCTGTTGAAGTGCTTCTTTGGAGGAAAAATAGGGAAACCAGGAGCGAAGAGAGTAAGTCATCTTTTGAAATGAGTGTTTCCACTCATTGTTACTATTCTTGATTTTGAGATCATCGGCAAGGTGCTTGTTCCAGTCTTCGTAATGGGGGTAGTGCGTCTCAAGGAACGGACCGCGAGGCTCAGGTTGTCGGTCGAACGGGGCGTCATACCCGGGGGAAGTGGCCCGAATGGACGACATGATGGGTTTGGCTTTAACTGCTCGTGGACAGAAGTTCAAGGTTAGCGGAGCAATGTTGGTAAGTGGGAAGCAATGCTCAATAGAACTTACAAGTTTTTGCTGGGTGTTGATGATAGGGACAAGCTTTTGCTGGGTGTTGATGATGGGGAGAATGGATGAGAAAGATGTTTGGTGAAGGAGGGAGAAAAGAAGAACGGGTGTCGGGTTTTAAGTCGCGAGAAATATTCCAACAGTTCATGCTTCCCCCTCTTTCTCGCCACCGGGCTGCATCAAAACGCAGATGTTGAGGTAGAAGTATCTTGCCTGACTGGTTTCGAGTCCGGTGTCCGAGTCCGGTCTCCGACTCACACTTTCTGACTCTCCGGGCATGCTATGCGTGTGCATATTTGGGTGCAATGCAGCTATCTCCGGTGCATATGTCCCATGACCGCAGCTCTCAGGGTACCGATAGACAGGCAGTTTTCCCGCACATCCGAGTACTTCCTTTTCCAAGCAACACATCATCTCTCATTCTCCCGCACTTAACCACAAGGTTTGTCTCCCGAATCTCATCCGATATCATCTGCCTCCAGTTGCTCCAGTCCTTCATTTCTGCACAACTCAACCAGAATGTCCACGACACAAGCCCTCTTGTTCACACACATGTACCTCAAAACCCTCCCCCCCCAAGTCAGGTGGCTACCAAACTCATTCCAGAATCTCACCCGACAATCTCGCCCGACAATCTCGCCCGAAATCCTTTGGTGCTCCCTTTCCAAACTTTGATTCCATCCAAGATCTCCATTAAAGCCAGGCCTCCGCACAATTGCGCAATGCACAACATATTTCACAAACATTTTCCTGCCCAAACTTCCACCACTCTTGTGACCTGTCCCGAATTCCCTTCTTCCTTTTTTTTTTTTTTTTTTTTTTTTTTTTTTTTTTTTTTTTTTTTTTTTTTTTTTTTTTTTCGCAATGCACAACAGATTTCACAAACACTTTCCTGCCGAAACCTCCACCATTCTTGTGATCTGTCCTCAATTCCCTTTGTGTGTGTGTGTGTGTGTGTGTGTGTGTTTTCTTGCCCATTTTCCATTCCAAAATCCCGGTACCTGTGATAATATGTCAGTACAGGTAACTAACTGGGGTCGTGTTGTTGGACCAGTTCAATGACGGTGATGGCATACCTGAACCGCACAAACACGACAGATTCTGCCCCATGCCGCAAGTTGCGATGGTCCCCATCCCTCGTCTCTCAAATCTCATTGCAGGTCGAAATGACCCAAATTTCCCAGATTCATATCGATGGACGCGGAACCAAAGAGACGAGCCTGGGTGCAAAACGGTCGCCACTGGATCCAAGAAACGGTGCCGGGCAAACAGCGTAGAGATAAGAAGTGTTATGTCGGAAACTGGTACCCAAATATTGTATTATTGGTGAAGAAGATGCCTCTTAATATTTCCAAGTCCGCTGTGAATAGTGAGGTTGTAACAAGATGCTGCGCTGGATGCCCTTGCGTTCTTGGGGGAAGCAGCGGAGATCTGCATGGGATTTTCCGGCTCTTTAAAAGGCGGATCCTAACACTGCCTTGGGTTTCCAATCTGCTCCAATATTGTCTTGAGCTTTCGGCCATCGACGTCCGCAAGACGAATATGATGAAAATCATGTGATGTGTCATCAATGCGAGTAGGGTGTGGATGTTTGCTGTATATGATGGTATTGCAATCGTTCTTGCTTGAGCGTAGAATGGTATTCCAAGGGCTCAAGCTGCCGTGGCCGTGAGCCGAATGCTGTTAGACGCACGGGCAAGCCATGAATCGGAAATCATGCATATCGCGGTTGGGTTTGTATGATTTTGAGCATTACTAGTCAATGCAAATGGTGAGAAAGGTAAAACTTTGTCAGGGTTGCTGCCGCGTGATGTGTCGTAGTTGGCCTCTGAAGTGCGAACGCTGAAACTTTCAAGTGCAAAAGACCGAAGCTCAAATGAGCAGACTCAGAGCATGCCGCAACCGGTATCTCCCTCGTACCTGGCTCCAGAGGCGGTCGTGGTATTGGTGGTGCTGGAAACCTGAAAGCAGTCGCTTGAAAAGACAACCTTGTCGTCAAAAAATGTGGAGGAAGGTTGATGGAGTTCAAACCAGCCGACAAACGGAAGAACAAGATGGGTGTGCATGTCCAGAAGCTGTGCTGCGGAATCTTTTGTTTTCTCTTCGGTGGTGATGTACTGTGTTTGTAGGAGAAGAGGCCGCAGATGACTGAACCTGGTCGTAATGAACTGGATGAGAGCATGAGAGAAAGATAAGGAGTTATGTGCCAGCCGCGAATCGAAAGCGAGCTCCATCGATTGAAAATGCGCTGCCCACCGCTATCTTGAAAGAATATCGACCAAACCAACCCTGAAGTCAAAGTTGTTGTGTTGATTGTGTTTGGAGAACCCGAGAGTATTCGTGTTCGCGGGTGCCAAATGCGAGCCACAGAAGGAAGCGACCCGGATCCCCCGTCAATTGCTGCTGCATGACAAGACTGGAACTTCCGGATCCCGGGGAGATGTCCGAGATGGAACTGAAGATGTCGTATGGCCTCGGTGGTAAGAGGCTTAAGGAGCAGAGAGAGTCGATGAGGAGCGCAAGCGGACAGAAGCTCAGAGACGCCTCGAGGAACGCGACCGGGTCGAAGCTAAGCAGGCCGAAGAAGCTCGGAAGCAGGCCGAAGAAGGCCGGGAGTGCCTTGAGGAGCAGATCAATGAGGAACACAGGCAAGTTGAAGCCCAGAACCGGCTCGAAGAGCAACACATGGAGGCCAAAGCCCAGAAACAGACCGAAGAGAAGCGACTCGAAGAGGAACTCGAGCAAGCTGAAGCTCGGAAGCAGGCCGAAGTCCAGAAACAGGCCGAAGAGAAGCGACTCGAAGAGGAACTCAAGCAAGCTGGAAAAGAGGGATCCGCCAATGCCACCAAGCGGGAGCCGAAAGGGATGAGGTCCTTGAGGCTGATGGAAGAAAACGACGCATCCACGTGGGCGCCAAGGAGGTTGAGGAAGCTTGCCTTCGTGACTGTCAGACATCATTGCCAGAGCAAGAGAAGGGGTGTAAGGGACTGAGAGAGAACATACCTGAGAAGTGTAGTGATGACTGATGTCGAGTGTTCCCGCGACGCAGGATATGTGAGAACAAATTTTTTTTTTTTTTTTTTGCCCGCCCCAACCAAGTTCCCTCACTTTCGTGAAGGCCGTTTTTTTTTGTTAGTGATGAAAGAAAACTATACTGCGCCGCTGGAGGACCTCAGGCCACCGCTAGTGGGCACTGGCCCAGAGGGCGCCCACCCACAAGGCGGCAGAGCGCACCCACTGGAGAGTCGCACGGCCCTGTGTAAGAAGAAGGTCAGTACATGGAAGTCATTGGTCTCGAGAAGGTTACTCTCAGAACGGCATACCTCGGATGCACTGCCACCGCCCACGCGGGAGGCAGCGGCTCCTCAGGCCGAGGACTCTCTCCTAGGCGCTCGAGCTCCGCCAGGATTTCTCCAGGTGACCGACTAATTCTTTGGTTAGCTCATATGGGCTGTGGATGGAGTGAGGTTGACTAACAACGGCCACCAGAGGTCCTTGGGGTGGGCGAGAACCCAAAAGACACTGGCCACAGTGACGACCACAACCCATACGGGTGCGTCGGGAGCGGTGGCCCTGAGGCCCTCGGCGTAAACAAAATCGGGTGATGTGTAGGGGATTGGTACCATGGTAATGGTAATAACGCTGGTGAAGAAAAAAAGAGAAAAGAACATCATGAGATGAACGCAGGGGGGGGGGGAAGCTTTATACCTGGCCATCCGCCCTTCCGATTGCTGCACCTTCCGCAACGGCTACTACGGTTACTGCTTGATCTGAATGCTCGCTCTTGGTTGCAGGTGTTGTAATGGAAAGGACATCCTTCCTTCAAGTGTAGTGGTTGGCGATGACGGTGAGTGTGCCGGCCTGCCCCTGGACTGGGGTGGCTGTCTTGCGCACCTGCACATCTTGAACTAACTGAGGAAGACGAGCAAGAGAATCCGTAGTATCAGAACATTGTATGAGGCCCGAGAATGCCTGCCCTGCTCCGGCTCACGCCTGTCCCGCTCTTCCTTTATCTCAGTCAGACGGCCAATTCTTTCCTTTGCGCGGGCAATGGAGACTGAGCATGGCTCTTCCATCCATGAGATGGCATGACAAGTGGGATCCAGTCTTGGACAGGTAGTTGCGAAGCATCGGATGGACTAGAAAGAACCGGTTTGGATGAGTAGGAGCGGTACCCAGACCGGTAAACCATCTGTCAGGTCGGATGGAATGCTTGCGCGGCCCGGGCCGTCCCGTTGTTTAGGCATACGTCCGAGCGATCGTAAGAATAAACCGAATACGGACAGTCCAATACCGCTCGTTGGTGTTGAGAAAGACGGTAAGGTGTCCGGTTTATTCTTACGACCACTCGACGGCGCCGATTGAACTAGATGAGCCCTTATCGAAGCTGACGCCGGTTTAGCGGTGAAAATGACTGTTTCGTTCTGTCCGACTGGAGGCTCTGATTCAGTTTCCCACCGGGCCTGGGGGGAGACTGCTCCAGTCACATTCTCCCTTCTTTCCCTTCACTTCCCCCGTCATGACCTCATTCGACGGGGTGGTACGTACCTCTACCTTGGTTGTGTGGACACTGGCCCCAGTTCAACTTGAGTGCTCACTCTCACTGCGGCCTGCTCGGACCACTTGTCCTGGTTACTTACTGCCGTGACGATGGCAGGACAGGCCGGGGCAGGAGATGACCACCTTGACGGCAGGCAGGAAGACTCAGACGTCCTTCACAGTTCACGGTTTCCTTCCCGAATTCCCAAATGTGCTCTGTGCGCTCACTGTAATCGGGTGCGCGGCATGCATGACGGCAGGCAGGAAGAACTGGGGCGTCTGTCTGACATAAGGCCCGGGGAGAGCAGCACGGGAGTGAGCCGGAGCAGGGAAGGCACTCCCAGGGCATCGTATGTTCCAGGTTGGTCTGATCCGGACATGCCTGCTGTTGTTGAGTTCAGTTCGATCAAGATGTGCAAGTGCGCAAGAGGGTCATCTCTTTTTCCCAGTGCAGGCCGGACACTCACTCATCGATCCATCATTCGGGGTCAGGAACTGAATTATCTCAGAAGCTCAGACCAGCTTGGGGTGGCTTGATGGCCTGACGGCCGGGGCGCTGGCGCGCCATGCCCACACTATAGACCCATAGACCTATAAATACCCACTTTTCTACCTAAAATAGACCTAGCGCTACTATAGGTTGGGCGAAGCCCAAACTGGTCTAAATCGCGGATTGGATCCGAACTGTAAACCAAACACATATATACCTTGCAGAATGCGCTAACCTATACAAGTCTATTGATTTAAATCATATTCATACTTCAACACTTATATTTTGATCGCTAAAGTTACAATTATCCGACGGTATTTTTATTAATAAAACAATATAGCTAATTCGGATTCTAATAAGGGTTAGTATTCTACGCCTCCCTAGCGTTCCTAATGCGCCCGCTAACTAAATCAGCGTATACGAATATTAGGGCTACCTGTACGAATAACGTCACCTATCTTATATCCCGAGTTATAAGCGGGGCTTTTTTAACTATAAAGATAAGAATAAGGGTAAGAATAAGGGTAAGGATAAAAGTAAGAGTAAAAGTAGGGACAAAAGCAATGGGGATAGCGGCGGAAAGTTAGCTAGAAGTAAGAATAAAAGTAAGAGTAGGAGTAGGAACGGTAAGAGTAGCAATAATAAGAAGAGTAAGAATAAGAGTAATAAATAAGAAAAGGCGAGGATAATAAGGAAGAAAACATAGATATATTACCCGACGATATTATAAAGGGTATAAAAAAAGTTTAGAATATTATAAGTGTTATGGGGCTAGAGCCTGGGGGTTAAGCTTGGCTATTGCTATTAGATCGTTAGGGACCTGTTAGGCGTTAGACCCGTACTAGTACTAAGGAGCGCCAATATCCGTATAGTATAAGCGTTGTAGTATAGCGTTGGAACGGTTCGGAGCCGTCGTAGATTTAGCTACTATAGGATAGAGTTTACAATAATATAAATAGCCGGTCGAATTCGCCTCTAGAATTATCGAGGTTAGCTATTAATATATCTTTAATCCTCCCCTTACTTTAACGTCCCCTACGTACTTACGCTATCCGTAGGCACTTTAACCTATTTTCCTTTACGATCCTAATATATTAATAATTTCTTTTATAAGAATTAAATCGTTATTAATAGGATATAAATACGTAGTGGACGATCCGTCTTTCGGACCGCCGAAGAAACCCCTCCCTTTATTTCCGGTACGTAAGAATTATTTATTACCCTTCTTATTGCAACCGACGATAATTTTTAATAATAATTTCCTCTTTTATCCTAATATTATTAGCCGATTATCAAAGAAATAAACAACAATAATTCGGATAGCGATTACTCTTTTACCTCCTTATTGTCACGGCGTAGCTAAACGGTGTGTATTTGGCTAACTTGGACTAAAGATAAGAAATTAAAGAAGGAAGAAATCCTAAAAGGGAAGGCTAGATAGGAGGGACTAGGTTTTATACCCTAACTCTGGGAAGGAGGCCGCTAGAGCCAAGCCTAGAACTTGAACTATTTAAACTATACCCGTAAATAAGACCTATGACGGTATATAATAGCCTAAATAGTACTAACTATTATATTCCTCCCCTACGTAATAAGCTTCTATCCCGGAAGCGATTAAAAATCTGATTATATATATAATAATCCCTATATTCCTCCGATATATTCTATTAAATTTATCTCCTTTATTAGCCACTTAGGAAATTAAATAATTCCTAACCCCTTAGTACGGGTCTATTAAACGTACTTAATTAAGTAGTTCTATTATTCTGTTATAAATTCCTCTACGTTATTATTGTTAGAGCAATCCGATTCTACATTTTCGGGTATATACGAAAGGTTTAAACTATTAATAGAAATAATAGCGCTAATATCTATGTTATTACCCCTATTACTAATAGTTTTATTGGATAAATAAAGTAAAGAGCCGGCCAATCGCTATAATTTACTTACGAAGTCGGTGAAATTATTAGATTTATTAATAAAATAGAATTTCTCTTTAAAATCGGATAAAATAGCCCGACGTAAGGTAGTTATTTAAATATACTTTAATTATTTATTTGCACTATAGCAGTAGAAAAAACGTTTAAACCGGGCGAAAAAGGCTATAAAATGCTTATCCTTATATTATTTGATAATTTGAATCTTCTCCTCTATATTTTAAATTTTATACAGGTTATCGAAATGGCGAGCGAGTTGATTTAAAATAGCCGAAGGTTGGTATTACCTTTAAATAAGTTGAGGTTAGACTAGTTATTAGACTTTTTCTTCGAATTAGGAATAAATATAGAAAAATTAAACTTTCTCCGAACTTATAGAAGTATTATCCAATTTTAGTTTAGTTGTAATTATAGGGAATTAGGTTTTTTAATAGGAAGAGGTACTATTAAATTTTTCCGTTTTTGGGAAGTATAGTTTAAGCCGCACTCTATCCGTAGGCTTTTAGAGAGAAATAATAAAGTCTTCTAAATTAATAAGGGTTTTAACTCGCTTAATTAATTTAAAAATAGTTTTTTTATATTTCAAAAATAATATTACCCTAAGCATTAAATAATTTTTCTATTAATTGCGGTTAAAATATTATTAAAGCTCAAAGGGAGTGCTAAATTATCGGTAGAGAATAGAGTAATAAAATAGGAAAAAATAAAACGGTATTAAAATCCGTCTTATATACTAATATTAAATTAAAGAGGGGGTACTATAGTTACAATTATTGGAAATAATAAAGACCGGATATAAACCGCAGTATTATTTGCACTCCAATTAAAGTAAATAAATAATGAAAAAGGTAGGGATACGGTTCTATAAACCCGTATATAAATAAAAGGATAAACTAAATAAATAGTTCTTAAATATATTGTTTTACTTCCCCGTATATAGAAATAAATAAATTATTCATAATAATAATAAATAAAATTGTAATTTTATTATAAAAGCGCCCGCTAAAAGTAATTTTTATTATTCGTATACTAATTTAAATTTAATTATAAGGCTAATACGTCCGCTACGCAGCTTTCAAAATAGCGCTACCGCTACAAAATGTCTAAATAATTAGATTTAACGCTGTAAGAGAAGTTTTTAGAAAATAAGTAAAGGAATTAGATAAAACGATATTATTGAGGATAGGATTGGCTAGGTATACGGGGCCGAAAGACGCCGTTAAGATACGCCCGACCTATAGTAAAGTAAAATTATAGAGACTCGGAGGAGTTAATATAGGTAAGGCTACGTAAACTAGCTTCCACTATAAGTAATCTATATTATAAGTTAATATAAGTAAAGCTACGCGGCCAATTAGGTCGTATCGTAAGACTCTAATATCGTCGTCGTCGATATCGAAAGAAGAGTATTGAGTACGATCTAATTAATCTATTAAAAAATTAGTCTGTAAAGGAACTTCTTA